TCTATGCTTCTTGCACCCAGACTTCTCATTTTCCTTTCCTCAGACTCAACACAAGCTCTCTACTGCTCTCTCCTTGTTCAGAATGATCAGTCTTCTCGCAGCCACTGTATTATACCACAAAACAGAGGACAAATTTCTTTACCTTATTACTGTCATGCCTTTTACTGTTTATTCACCTCTGAGCCAGGAATGACACATGTGGTTGCCTGTAAAATAAGCAACCTCCTTCTATACAAGGTCTTCCGGTGACTTTCTTCTAAGTTTTGCAAGTGCCGTCCTTTAAGTCAGTGCGCTCATCTCTTTGTTGTAGTCTAGAGCTTGAAGAATAGTCGGAAGACGGAAAATCCATGTATTTATTTCCTATATATCAGCAGGCAGCTCTTATCATGTACCTTGGAGGTGGAGTGTTTTAAATAGTCAGTGATACTCTATTTTGTCTGTTTTTAACTATGCTTCTAGTCACTACACTGTCCTTTGCAGAAAATTGAAAAGACTTTGCGTATCAGGGAGGCAGCTTGTGCATCTCCTCATTTTGACTAGTTTAGTAACAAACTTTTCTCCTTGCTCTTTTCTTTGTCTTCTCTGGTTGTCTCCTCTGTATTTTTGTCCTCTCCCTTCTCTCTCCCCTGACCTTTCACCTTGTGGTGAAAATGTCTGTTTCCTGTGTGTAATATGTTAGCTACTTCTTCCTCCTCTAAAACTGCTGATGATTCTGGTGATCTGCTTGGGCAATATCAATGAATACTGTTCATACACTGGATCCAATTTCCCAATGGTCTATACTCATCATCACTGAAAATGACCTTGGATGCTTCACACCTTTCCTTCCTATGTTCCTTACATTGTTTTGGTCAATAGAGGAAGAATGGACTGATGGACCACGATGATTTCAGAGCTTGCCTGATTTCAATGGGTTATGATTTGGTACGAATTTTACGAAACAATGGCAATTGATTTTGATTACAACTTGTGACATTAACCCAGCAACACTAAACCTTATTTAGACTGGCAGAATACTAATAATATAATTTACACTAGAGATATTAGTTCCTTGTTTGTTTGCTTTTTCTGTGTTTTCAAATGGTTAAAAAGGAAGTTAAAAGTAAAACTAGACACTTGAGAACCATATTCTATGGTCAGCTGTATTGCTCTTTGAATAATAAGGAAATTTTCAAAGTTGAATTTAACAGTCATTAAATCTTTATTTTTTATTTCTTTTCTATGTAAAATCAAATTTTTTATCTGCATGAGGAAGGACAAGTTTGATGTTTTTCACTCTTATTATTCTCATGAACTAGGTTTGCAGTGTTGCAGCTCTTTTCCCTCATTTTTCAAAAAATAAAAATAAAAAAAAAATCCCCTCATCCATACATACCAGTTCATTCTTTTTAGTGGGGGAAAAAAAAAAATCAGCCAAAGTTGAACTCTCCTGTATTTGGCATGACATTTTTAGAATTGTTTCCCTCAGTTCTTTGTTTAGTGAGTCTGCATGTACCTTCTTGGGGTATTTTTCCACGTTCCTGTGCAGTACCTAAATTATCAGGGGGTTATTATTTGTTTTAGGAGGTGGTGAAAAATGAAGGGTTAAAACAAGGTTAACAGGCACTGAGAGAGAATGGCACAGGGGGGAAGTTACAGAAAGCTAATTTAAAAGTATGTGCTATGTATTTAGGACAAAGAATATCTTTTTCAGAGGCACCATAGCTGTTCTACAAAAGAGAGGTAGTCATTTAAGATCCCATATTTCACTGACTATGACATTTGTGTTCCTAAGTCAGGTAAAATGCTTTAAAGACTATGACCACTGGTCCCTGCTGGGCATGCGGACATGGGCTTCATGGGATTTCAGAGACTGATATTACAGTGACCTTTTTCTTTTTTTTTTTTTTTTTTTTTATTATTTTTTAATTCTCTGAAAGGGTGAAGCTGAGTTTGCCCGGATCATGTCTCTGGTTGACCCCAATGGACAAGGAACTGTTACTTTCCAGTCCTTCATTGACTTCATGACCAGAGAAACGGCAGATACAGACACAGCTGAGCAAGTGATAGCTTCCTTCAGAATCCTGGCTTCAGATAAGGTCAGTCATCGTGCTGCTGGCTGTAAGGATTAAATAGCTCTCCTGTTTAGCTCTTATTTACTGAAAGTCTTATACAAGCTTTTCAGTAATTATGAAGCTTTGTTTTGAGTTCATAAGAGTTCAGAGAAGGCACTTGCCTTTTTTCTCATATGGAACCAACACTCTTAGCTGACATGTGTGCAGAATTCAAGGCTTGTATTGTCACACAGAGATAACAAAAATAGACATCTTAGAGAATGAAATCTTAGGCAAACAGTTTGTCCATATAATGGATATATTGTACATCAAGCTGTTTCCACACAGCAGCCTTCATTAAAGGGAAACTCATTCTGCCTTTCATGATGTTGTCTGGATGTTTCAGTGCAGAATTTGGCCCTCTGGAACACAGCCTGGGTCAATTGCACAAGCTTACACCCAGTTGTGAGCCAGGTCGTGACCTGACATCTCATGCAACAGGGTGATGCAATGTGGCATTGCCCCATCCTAGGAGGAAGCTTCCTCTGTTCCTCCACGGGTACATGGAGGAAGCTCCTGAGTTTGGAATTGTCTCCTCCCAACAGCCAGATCCACTGGTGAGTGAGCTGTGTTAAGAAGACGAAAGGGAGGACAATGGCAACACAGTAGCCTCTGGAGGAGTCAGGGCCTCATCTGCCAGGAAACCAATCCTGTGCTATTGAGAAAGAAGAGATCACAGCAGTACGGGTCTATTTGCCCAAGCTCGCTCTATTGATTTTCTCATTCTGACTGTTTGTATTGATTTTGTGATCTCAGTTATTAAGGACCACATTCTGAACTCAGGACATGTTTGCAGTAGTCATCACAGTTACTGTGGACCTCATTTTGAATTCCAGACGTGTTCTCAGTAGGAATTCATGTGGAAGATGAAAGCCAAGGTCTCAGGAAAATACAATTTTCTTTATGTTGCTATTTTAAACAATGCCAAGTCTATTAGTGTTTTCAGAGTGTATTCTTCATATCACAAATGCAAGCCATTAATAGCAATAGTGCATCTTTCATTATAAATATATTAGGATGCTGAAGCTACCAGGATCTAGCTGACAGTGTGTCTGCCCTGTCACTGCAGGAGGGGCAGTAAGGCACTCTAGGGATATTGAACTAGCTACCCATGGATGAACTCCTGTAGCAGTAGCCGTCTACCCACTGCTGCACAGTGATCAGTCACTAACACGCACAGGTACATATCCTGAGACTGGATTTTAACCTAATCAGTTTGTTGGTGTAGGATTATCTCCTTCATTATTAAGGGTCGAGTTTATCAAGGGGAACATTTGTTTTCAGGAAAATGAGCAGGACATCCAAGTGTATTAGCTGCAGTTACAGAAAATGAATGTATTTTATGTCTTTGAAGAATACATACTGAATTTGTCAATCGTTTCCCCCCTCACAGCCTTACATCCTCGCAGATGAGTTACGTCGAGAGCTGCCTCCTGAGCAGGCTCAGTACTGCATCAAGAGAATGCCTCCATACACTGGCCCAGGTTCTGTTCCTGGGGCTCTGGATTACACCTCATTTTCATCAGCACTGTATGGAGAGAGTGACCTCTGATTCTGTAATTGGCTGTATTCATAGTAAACACAAAAAATACCCACCTGATTGCCCAGATTGCTTCTTAAAAGGTTTGACAAGCTGATTTAAAAATGAGTTTTACAAATGCAGTAGGTATCTTCAGTGTAAAGTGCTATTACTAAAGCAACTAGTGTATATTAATGTGTGCAGCACGCTAGATTACTGCATTGTTGGTTTTAGGTTGTCTGTCCTATACAATGCTAGAAAATATTAAAAAAAAAAAAAAAAAAAGGCAAGATACTGACTTTGGAAATATCCCTTAAGAAGATAGAATGTAAGGCCTAAGAACATTGAAACTTCCAATTATTTAGACTCACAAAATATTTCTCCATTTTCAGAATGTTTCAATGCCCTTTGTGCTTCTTTTACGATGTTCATAAAACTATGTTAAAGTCATGCTTTTTTCTTTCATAGAGCAATGCTATTTTCCTCTTATGATTTCTGATTTTATATGCTTCTGCTGGTGAAATTTAATAACATATTAAAATGAAGTTTTTCAGGGAAGAAATATATCAAAGAAGTAAACTACTTAATTACTAAAACAATCCAGAATGCTATGTCTTTGTCTCTTAGAGATGGTTTTCCAATATCACAAAGAATTGTAATGTAGGGGAAAAAAAGCTGAAAAGCTGATTAAATTGCAGGTTTAGAGTTATGTTAGCAGTACTTTTAAGCCTTTAACTTTTACAGATGAGGGAGTACAACTTTTATAATCAGAAATAACAAGGAAGCTAATTTTATGTGAACTGTTTTGTTTTGAAACCCTCTTTCTTGTCTGTGTTGGACAATGTTTGTTTCTCAGTATAAGAAAGCCAGTCCCTTGTTACATTAGTGGGCAACATTCATCTCCATCCTGAATAATGCAAAATCCTATCTGAGCAAATGTAGCATGGTTGTCTTGCAGCTTTAACTGTTCCGTGCTCAAATTACAATTTGTCTTGACTTCTGCTGGTTCACAGGCAGTTTGGTCTGTATTGGTCTGGGAACTGTTTGTTCTACTGTTTTTTTTTTTTTCCATCTTGAGAAATAAAATAAAAAAGCAGTAACTTTTTTACTTGAGCCTACTGTCACTGAGGAAATGCAATGTAATCAAAGAAAACCATTTACAAATGGTGAAGTGAGCTCTGCAGCCCAGTGCTATTAAAGCAACGATGTGCCTATTAAATAAAGTCTGCTTTTCAAAATCTTATGAGACTTCTGTCATTGACAATCATCTAGTGTTTCCCTCTAAGAATTTGAAATATATCTGAACATTAAAGGAGGTTTGTCTATGGAAAGTTCAAAAAATGTCATGCATTTCTGTACATTATGTTTGCATGAACAACAGGTGCTATGTGCTGGAGGGGCAGGTATAGCCTCATGAAGCGACATGGAGCTCAGAGTGAATGGGACAGTGTTTCCACTCGAGTCACCTGGCACATGCCCAGAGCGTATCAGACTCTTAGTTTGGATTGTTTTCAATGAGATGTGGACACTAATACTTTTGAAAATGTTGGCCTTAACCTTTCTGTATCTCTCTTTTTCCTCTTACACAAAAAAGCAGGTGTTAAGTACACAATAACACTTTCATTGGTCTTTGCTTCCTGCAAGGTGAGGTGCGTGTGGTGTGAGCAATTTCAAAACAATCCCAGAGGAGATGGGCAACAAATAACTCTCCTCCTCCACCTTGTGTACCAATTTCACTTCCAGCCAAATGACTGCTGGGCAGGCTGAATCCTATTAAATAAATCTCTATATCTCTCATTGTTACAGTTTAATGCAACCAGAAGAAAGACACTGAACTTGAAAGCAGAGCACAAAAGCAAAATCTCAGTGCTACAGGCGAGATTATGCTAAAAATTGGCACAAAGGACAGTTTACATTTCACAATCCTTTTGGGTGCCATTTATGCTCTCTAACTGCTAAATTTTACTGGTAGGAGTCTGATTGTGATATCCTTCCTATTTCTGATAATATAAAAAAGACTTTGAAACTCATCCTTTAGCTAAATGTTCTGTTGATCAAAGTGGGTGAGAGATAATGTTCTTAGCACCATGAGAAGAAGACTTCTGTAAAGTACTTTTTCCATTCCCATATCAGGTTTCTAATTTCTAGAGCAAAAACAAAACCAGTGGCAGACATCTGAAAGGATTAATTATCCATCCGTACTTGCCTAAAATGTTATTCCATATTTATTAATTTATTTCATGTAAAAATAAAACCAAAAAACAATCATCAAGTTCTTTCTGCCAGCATCACCTATTTCTAGGGTAACTAGGTAAATAAATAAACTGCGTTATTTTATCCTGAAGCAGTGTTTAAAGGTCCTTAAAATATTCTGTGATCAAATTGTAGGGCAATGGGCATGCTAGAGACATTTCATTTTCCTCTAAGGCTCAATTTTTAGTAACTGGCACTTGCATTTTGTCTGTATAACCAGTCTGTTAACATTGGAAATCAGTGGTTTCAATTATGTTTTCTGTCTACTCCATTCTGGCAGCAAACTAGTTTTTTTATGACAACATGTAGTAATTGGGCCCAAGGTAATGAATACACCAGTCATGGGCGTCAGATCAAGGTTCAGTAGGAGAAGGTACAGCATTATTTTGACAATCATGTGAATGAAGGTTATAGGCTAAGGTAAAATTCAGAAAGAAAATAAGGTTTTAAGTTGCTTTAATGACTGTAAAACTGAAGTCTTGTGTGACTTAAGATAGATACAACAGATTTTTGAATATCTTCCTGCCAGAATTATCTTGATTTTCCAGTGATCATCTTCAGTCAGTTTTTCTGTTCTTCACAAAGGTGCTGATGCAGGTTGAGAACAGTGTTGTCAGCTCTGTGCTATCTTCATACCTTCTTTCTTCATAAATAGAGTTTCCAGAAGTTTATTTCTTACCTCCTGGCCACAAAAGGCTTAAATGAGAGCAGCAGCTAGTGGCTTGTATTTCCATCAGAACATACTCCATTCTTGGAGAAGGCCATACTCTTTCATTCAGGTTGTTCCTGGTGTCTGTAGAAGTTATCCGAAACAGCAGCGTTCTTGACAAAGAAGGAAAATGCTTTATATTAGCAGTTGGATTTGGATGGTAAGCACAGGTGGTTTTTTTTGTTTGTTTGTTTGTTCAGCTTAAATGACTTGTAGTTTGGAGTAATGCTGTAAGGCAGTAGATGCTTGATAGTTGCTAGTACATGAACAGTGCCTTACGAGCATGCCTCCAACAATGATAGTGGTGTCAGCATTTTTTGCTGTGCTTTTACAAACATCTCCAGTAATACTTAGATGAGAGCTAATTACTTAGCTATCAGGTGACACTGCTTTGAAGAACATTCATGGCTTAACTTTGCCAAATCCAAATCCTCATCTTCTTCAGTGGTACATCTTGGTGCAGGATGGAGTTCTAGACTTTGAAGACAGGAACACACCTGAGGTCATTCTTCAAAAGAAGTAAGGAACAAAGTCAATGAAGGTTCAATATAGACACTGAATGCTGGGAATCATCTGTATGACAAATACTTAGAAATAAGGATGAGCTCAGTCAGACAAGAAGGCATGTGTATCATTTCCATATCTTAAGCACAAAGTAAGAATGATTAAATAAAAGATCTGGCTCTCAGGTTGTGTTCTAATAGAAAATGACTTTGAAGCAGCTGTAAGTTTGTCACAGTAAAAGTTCAGTACAATATGCCTTGGCTTTCAATTCCTGATGAACATATTTCTAACCAGGGAAAACTAAGCAGTCTGGATAATTGTATTTTGTCGGATTTTATATATGAAAAATCTTCCCATTGGCTACTTCTGGAGAGAGTGCCAGAGGAGGTAGCACTGTTGTGGTATGAACATGTCAGGACAGTGCACAAAAAGCACCCCAAAAACTCAGAAACAGAAAAATATCCCCTGAGATGCCAAAAATACTCAAATATGCAAAACCTCCTATAATTTTACAGTATGACCATTGCTAGTGTTGTTTGATCCTTACTGGTCTCTAAGGTGTTTCTCTCTTTGTAAACATTCACTAGGTTTCAGAATAACTGAAATATCTGTTCCTTCCCCATGCCCTCTTCCCCAGGTTTTATGTTTAACAACCTGTGCGCTTGCTTGCTTGTGTGTCAGTCTACCTTCTGCTTCATGAAGGAATTTATCTGTGGAGCTGCTACATCGGGGTAAAGTCTGTGCCACAGACAGCTGTTGGCATATTCTGATAGGAATCAACTTGTTTCAGACCAAATATTTTAATATAGAAAAGCTGATTGTCCTAAACTGGATTTCATTTTATTTTGCTCTCTCTTTTTAAAACATGTGATTCCTTTCTAATTTTAAGCCAAGGTGTGGGCTGCCACCACAAAGGACAAGTCAATCTCCACTTTTTCCATGATCCCATTTATTTATAAATAGAACAGTTCCTTGTTCTGGTTACTGTGCTGGCTGGGAATATATTCAGTGTACTAAGAAGGAGAGATTATCCCTTCCAACAGCAGACTGTATTTACATTATCTTGAAGTGATTGTAGTCCTGTGGAATTAGGGACCCAACCACATGCTTTCACTAGAAGTTCTTTATTATTCCAACAAATGAATGTTTATGTGTACACAGCAAATATTGATACAGTACTAGGAATACCACTCATTTCCCTCATAAAGCAGGATAACTACATTAACAGACAAGTCCAGTCATTTCCACATGTGAGCTTGACTAGGATTTCATATTCCAATCTTCAAAATAAATTGCCAGTTTGCTAGGCTTTTGGAAATTTCATTAGCATCTATAATAGTGTGTTTCACAAACTTGATTATTGGTGTATTACTTCAATTACTTGGAAATGAAATATATTGGATGACTGTCCTGAGGCTATTTTAACACCCCTCCATCCCTCATCTGCTTACTCTTCTCTGTTTTGTTTTAAAAACCTGGCTGTTCTATCTGGCCCCAATTCATGGAAACTTTCTTCCCTACAAGATATCTTTTAATGCTTAAATTGAAAGATGCTCTCAAGTGCTTTCCTCAGGAGGAGTGGTTCTCAAATGTGCTTTCCCGAGCTTCAGCCTTCAAACTGAGTAAATGCTCCTTGTGTCAGGAGCTCAGGTATAGAAGAACTCTAGTGGCACCACACTCAGGGTGTTCTCTCTCAGGTTTTCGCTAGTCTGCTGGCAAGAACACAGGAAAAAAATGTTTGCATAAATTGCCAGCAAGTCTTGCCTTGGCTGGAACTTAGCCATTAATACAGGCAGATCAAATTAATACCATTAAAAACCAACCAAACAAACCCAAACCAATCAAACATAGCATGACTGTATCAAACAGCTTGTTCAGACTATTATCCTGGCTCCATCAGTTACCGATAGCAGGCACAATGGAAGTGTGTAGAAGCAAGGCAGCCCAGTGCCATGTGTGCCCAGAGCACTCTCCCAGCTGCCAGTAATTTGTGGGTCAGGAACTTGTGGAACAGTACACACTGATGGCAAAGATTTATTCTGGTTTTCTGCTATAGTAGTATCTTCTCTGAGAACTCTTCTATATTTTCTCTCAGGAGAACCTGCTATTCCTATAAATTCTCAGCAGGCTATTGAATATGTTTCTTTAGGAAAAAAAAAAAAAGGAGTAAAGGTTTACTGTTTGTGCTTTTACCTTTTACAAACTCTTTACAAACTCTTTCTCAAAGTCTTTGCTTTCACTTATCTCATTACATTTACCCTGTCAGAACCTTCACATAATCCAAGAGAGAGGAAATCCTATCTCCTGTGAGATAAAACCCACCACCATCACCATCAAAAAACACAGAAACCTAGCCCAGTCAAGCCTGATTATTTAACTGAAAACCAGACACCCCATGGTGAATGGTGTATGCATACGTGACCATCATGAGTAGGTGTAACAGACACAGTGCTGTCAGACATGAAATGCCTGAGGTCCTATCTACTAACACTGTGATTAAACCAAAGATACAGAATTTAATATCATGCAGCATGTTGCATAACAGTCTTGCTGTTGGTTGTTCATCTTCTAGAGACAACAGTCTGTGGCAGTTATAACTTTTAGCTTTGTTATTTGCTAACTGAAGGTGACAAAGCCTAATTTCCACAGCAAGCTGGAGAGCACCTGTAAAGGCCAGAAAACAGTCCAGCCGCTTGGAAACAAAAACTGTGTAATTATCTGAAGTGACTTGTGGAAGAAGTGGCTGAAACATTAATAGTTATATATATATATGTATGTATATATAAATATACAGGTATTGTTATGTTATTTAGCATGTATTATATTTCTTTCTTTTTTTTTTTTTTCCATTTTTCATTTGAATATAGTTGCACATGCATTTGTAAGAAGTTAAACTTATACTTGTGGAAAACACAAATATAAAAAGAAATTAATGAAAAAACATTTTTTATAGTTTTCATTCTTCCCCATAACAATCTACATTTCTGTCATCCACCCCCACTGGCCTTATGAACACTCCAAATTAAATATATTGATTATGCTTATGTCAGACATTTTCTTCCATCAATAATAAGAAACTTGCTTTTTCATTTTATTTCAGGAAGAACAACTAAAAACATTCCTTTATGACTGATCCCAGCTGACTTTGGCTCTTCTTATTTGGGAGCTTGGGCTTTTCATAAGAAACATTGCTTCTCCAAGCCAGACCAAGAACATGGATGGCCCAGTGTCTATTTGCAGAGGACAATTGACTGGGATAGCTATAGAGGAATAAATATTCTGCCAGCATCCTTTTGAATAGCTCCTCACGTCAACACCTAACTCAGAGTAATTTCCACTTTCTATATGGTGGCATTTAACTGCTGTGTTACTCTACAGACAGGATTGTCCTTATCAGAGGCCAGTTGTTTGCCTTTTCTGAAAAGGCATCATTCTTCCTGCAACCTTTTACTGTCTATTTGCAGAGAGCTTTCCTTTCTAACCCAGCCACCAGACTTTTTCTGAACACCCTTTCCCCGCTTCCAACAGCTGTCCTTTAGAGCTTAAACGTTCCTGACTGGAGACATTAACTTAAATCTAGTTTAATGATCTCAAGGTTTCCTTGAATCTGATTTTGAAGGGAGGCACTTTATTTCTACTTGATCAGAACACAGCCATTCTTGTTTTGTTCCAAGGCAATAAATGAGGTAATATTCCCTTTGGTTTTATAAAGTATCCTTAGGTTTATCTGCTACTGCTGTACTCTCTAAATTACACCCTTCAATGGCCAGGAATGTCAGTATGCCTCGCCAGCCACCAGCTATAGATGGAAAGACATCAGTGCACCGTGTGGAAAATGAAGGCATAAGCCAGAAACTATTCCACCAGCACTTTCTGACACCAAAATCCAGGTGCTTGCAGGTAGTTTAGCTCTCCACAGCAAAGAGGGGAGAGGAGAATTGAGCCTGATTCATGCTACCTGCCAGTTTGTACCCTCCTTATACCTTGCTGACGGCTCTACATGCTCCCAATATACTTGCCTGCATACAAGTAGAAGTGCATACAGAAGGGAGAAGGGGAGGGAAATACAAAATATTTTCACGTGCTAGAAAACCCAGTGAGACTGTGGGCAGTCTCAGATCTACTTTCTCTTGTAGTCCTCTGATGGTACTTAGGAGCTCAAGTCATCAACAGCAACTCTATTACACGGGGTGCTGTACAGTGTATAAAGACTGCTCCTATTTTAAAGAACAGTCAGGAAATGTACAAAGGAAATGCTAGATGGGATGTCACAGTGCTAACAGAGACTTATGAGGAGTTGTCAGGGGATCTTAGGGTGCTTAATACATTGCAGTCTTTTCAAGTGTTAAAATGCATAAGTAAATCTTCTAGTTTTACCAGACAAAAAGAGATGTCAAGAAAAAAAAAAAAATCAAAGGCAATTATTGTAGACCACAGGCCACAGAAAAAAGCTTTTACAGCCACATGGAAAACTAGCCAGAGAACAAGACCTGACTGGTGTACGTAACCACCGGGTGTAAATATTAGGCCTTTAGGGTGACAAGTGTATGTGCTTGGCTGCTCCCTCACACCTGTTTTAATGTAAATTCATATCACCAATCAAATAACAAAGGAAGGTCTTGCCCTAGAGCAGTGTTCCCTGTCAGTGTCACTTGTTCATGCTGTGGTTACTGCTTGCAGATGCAAGAGGCTTCTTGTTTCTCCCAATTTAATTTTTGAAGCTTGGATTCAATTTAGAACAAATGTTACCAGTGAGTATTCCTTCATTTCTTTAATTTATGATTTTGATTTTTAAAATATATATTTATTCATTGTTAGTATTTCCAGCAAAAGCAGATCTTTAGAATGGTTCATATTTCTAGAACTGGTTTCTAAACTTGTTTTCTAGCTCATGTCTGGGACCCAAATCCTTGTCACTCATCTTCCTGATCCTGACCTCATGAGCTTCCTGCTCTCCTCTCTGTTTCTGCTCTCCTACCTAGAGTTAATTGAACACATGGGATGAGCGGGGATAGCATTGCCTCAAACCACTTTGATGTAAGAGGATATCCTGATCCCCTGTAGAAAGGGTAAAGCAAATGTCACTGTTATGTCTGTGATCATAAGCAGTTTTCACAAAGGGATAAAATGTTGAAACCTAACAAATTAGACTTCAAAACAATTGAATAAACTGTGCAGTTTCAAAGTCCTTTAAAGAGAATTGACTACAAACGTGCTTTTTTTAACAGTTGATAACATGCAGGATTGTTTGTCTGCCTAAGTCAGAGGAAGCCAAGTAGGGCACTGGTCTTTCTAAGTATTTTACACAGGATTCCCTTGCAGAAAATATTTAAAAGCTTGATGTTCAATGAAAGAAAACTACATTAATAGAGGCTGTGCTCTCACTCAAATGGAGCCATGACTGAGAGCTGGGAGCACTTCCTAATGCTCTGTAATGCCACTCATATCTTTCATGGCATGCAGATGTCCCTTCTTTCTGCCCCACCGTGCTTTGTCTGCTCTACCAGTGCAGAATGCACGTGGCCGCATTACTTGGCTATTATTGTTCCATTGTCATTCCTATGCGGCCAAACTTTCCCATGTTGTCTTTCCTACGTGGCCAAACTTTCCCACAGTCCCCCTTATTAGAAGCATTTTCAATGATCTCAAGCTGTTGAATACAAACTACCATGCTTGTCAGGTTGAGTGTGATCCCATCTATGGTGCACAGGCAGCAGAGTACACCTGGGGCTTGTGCTTAGCCCCCCTCAAGTGCTTGGGCCTCTAAGTCCATGCTAGTCTGTTTGGCCCTATATACACTAGCAGGCTCCAGCTGCCCTGAACAGCCACACCTCAGGCTTCTACCTCCTGCCTGCTGGAGGTAAATACATGCCCTGGACATGTATTTAAGCTCAGGTCCTCATCCTTGCTCCTTGCTTAAGCCATGTTGTGTGTATGCAGTGTCTTGTTTGTCTTTGAGACTTCCTGGCCTGACCTCGGCCCTGTCTCATGACTACAGACTGGCACTCTCGTGCTCACTGGATTGTTGGCTGAACCTGCTAGGGTCACTGGACCTGCTTCTTTTTTGTTTGGGTACTGCAGGACCTTGTCCTTGCCTGTGAGGTTACAGCTCCTGCTTGCCTTGCCCTCACCCTTGGCTCCTGGCTTGCCTCCCCTGACAGAGCAGCCTGCTTGCCTGTTCCCTGACACTCACTTGCTTTCTACTCATGCACCTTGTCACAGAGCTACCTGACAGCCTGCATCTGCTCAGCAATTAACCCTTGTAACCTGCTCCATTTTCTGTGATCACTTCAGTGCAGCACAGGGAAGCAGCACAGCGAGTGCCTGCTCCCTCGGACATGATGCTAACTGGACATTGGAGCACACAGGGCTTTAGTTAACCTCTGCTGGCTGCCACCCGCAACTGTGACTGCAGCTTCCGTCTACAGCTGAACCTACCCTGGCGCCAAGACCTTGAAGTCCCCCTTCACAGGGTGAGTCCTGCAGCCCAGACTGGCTCCTGAGATACTCTCTGTCTGTTCAGTGGAAGGCTTCATAAATGGCTTGTGCTAGCCATGTAGTTTGAGGGTGTCTGGCAATGTTGGGAGGAAGCTCTGTTAGGAAGTAAGGGAACAGCAGTTACCTTCAGAAACCCATTTCCATAAGCAGCCCAGAACGATCCAGGGCAAGTCTCATCCTGCACTGGGCAGGGCCAGTGCAGTTCTGACTTCGCCAGGCCATGCTAATGGGGAAAAAGAAGCTGAGAATCTCACACTCATCCACAGCAAAATGCTTTCTAACTCTCCAAGCTCAATGATCAGCAGGTGACGCATCTAGTTGCATGTGACCCGAAGTACATGCTGGCCCTTTCCCCCCATCCTTCATGCTGGCAAGAGGCAGCTGGTAAGCCTGCAGTGGTTCTGTCTCTCTCTTCTATTGACCTGATGTGGATGTCTGAAAGGTGCATACTGAAGCTTTTAAGATAGCTGCAAAATTTCATAATCATATGAAACCTGTACCAAGTTGAAAGCAGTCAACACAGCTTTGCGCAGCAGCATGGAAAATCTGTAAGGCTACACCCCTATTAAACTCCCAGTCCTCTTCATGCCTCCATTTCAGCCCTTTTAGGCATTTATATACATCCTGATCAACTCAGATTCTGTAAAGAGATGTAAAAGATTATATTCAATTCAATTCAGAATGCTAGTGTCTTCAGAGTGATAGAGACTTTGTGCTTTTCTTAAAGTAGTGAAGTCCAAAATCTGTCCTATGGTAAGCAGAACAAATGTGTTGATATTCCTCTGAACTGTGTAAATTTAATAGGCATTTGTAGTGTGCACAGAATTGGTCTTGAAACAAGCGGCTTTCTTTTCATTTCTGGTAATATTTTGATCTTGCAGTAGGAATGTTAACATCAGAACTTAACCTAAATGCAGCAAATCATTTCTATTTGGGCCACTAAAGTCACTAAGTTGTGGGGACTAGGAAATTAATTATTAAATTGAAATTGTAATTATTGAGCACAGAGGAGATTCCAAAAATAAAAAACAACTCTAGTGTAACTTAGTCATCCAAAATAGGGCACGAATCCAGCAGCAGCAAAATAGCAAAAGTCTTAAGTAACTTTACAGAACAGAGTGCCAAGAGCTGTGCTCTGAAATCAGATTAAGCTGTTTTTGCTTTCTGAATTCTGTATGTTGGTTTGAATGCTTCACTTGGATATAATCCTGTGAAGCATGACTGTTCTTTATTAACAGAAATAATACCACTTTTTAAAATGAGAATTAATTATGTGAATAGCTCATTGGAGCTACAGGTCATAGGAATAAAGGCAGATAATGTAGGAATGAAAGGCATATTTTTTAATGAATATTATAGAGGTATCTAAAATACATGCTCAAATGCTAAAACAGCATGCTGAGAATCAGTGTTTGATCTTACCAACACAGAAGGTAAGTATAAAATTTGAAAACCTGTGCGTAAGTAGAATAACAAACTGGTGAATCAGATCCTTGGCACTGGAGGAAAAAAAAAAAAAAAAAAGCTTTGTTTCAAACACTGCTTGTTTCTAAAAGATCAGTAAGAGTTTAGCTGTGTGCAGGATGAGGTTGGGAAAATGGTAATTTGAAAATACCTTCAAGTATACTGGAAATACCAAAACTTGACCTGACTTAAAGATTTTATTTTTACTAAGGATACATGTATATCTATATAAGAATATAAGAATAAGAATATAAAGAATATAAGAATAATAATAAAGAATATAAGAATAGTATAAGAATATAAAGGATTTTGGTAAGGATATTGAATTTTGAGCTCAATCCTGTTGCAATCAGGAAGATGTTAGCTTCATTGAAGTACTACTTCTAACAACTGTGAGAAACCAGGATGCTCAGCACGCTGACAGATGCTTGCATGTATGATACTGTGTGCGAAACAGATGCTTAAAGAGTGCTACCTCCCAACAGCGTTACCTTTTTTCTACTGTTGGTGTCAAGATGGCATAGGAAGCAATTTTTGTGAAAAGCCATGATGCAATACAACTTTGTAATTGTAACTTCAAGTCTTTTCCATTTAGTTAATCATTGATATGTGTGAAAATATTTCCTTTCATGCAGATAGGTGCTGGGATGGCTAGGAGAGTATTTTGGCTTTTTAATACAGGTAACATGAAGGAGATTTTGAATGTACTTGCCAGACTGGAAAAGTGATGTTTCAGGTATCAGCATGCTCTCAGAAGACACTACAAAGGCCGTGATTATATGATGTTACTACTTGCTCTAGGACCCTGACCTATGGCTTCAAAATTTTTTCTCTGATGATTTATGAATCTTACTGATTGTCAAAATACATCAACCTCTCAAACTGTTCTAACTGTTATGTATTTTTATGTATTATGCTGTTGTATTTGAGTCTTATTCATTACCTGGATTTTCTATGTGACCACTACGCACGTGACAATGTTTCCCCATTTGAAAAAAAGTATTCTACAGACTATCCATAGAAGTTGCTTACTTTACAGTAGCACGCTATTTTTGGAGGACATACACTGTATTTTGTATTTATATGCTGAAAGTTTATCCCAATAAATCAGGCAAACTAGGGCTTTGGTGCAGAACTGACTTAAGATAAAATATTTGAGAACTTAAGCACTTTTATAAACCAAACATTTAATGTTACATCTAGTTTTTGCTATCCTTAAATTTGCAAAATGAACATAATGGCTAGGATTATGGTTGCCCCTGCACTCCTTAGATCACATCCGGTGAACAAGCAGCTTCCTAAACCAGTGTATAGGTTACCACCAAATACTACAAGTCTCAATAAATTCAGAAGAAGACACAGAATTTAGGTTTCATTTGACCACCCACAGAGCTCCTGGCCAGCTCCCAAAAAGAATGTACTGGAATAGGATGCGAGGTTTCTCAGGCATGGGAATGATTGCACCTTGATGTTCTCCTCTCCTTTATGCCATCATTCCAGTGACTAAATTACTCTTGGTGTTACTCTCAATGTAAGAAAGGGAACAGTATTTTGACAGCCTAATTCAACAAAATAAAAACATTCCATAAGACAAAGGAAAAACACTCTTCAAGCTTAAGGGCATTCTTACTGCAAGTTTTTGAAGGTTTCCTGCAAACACACTGCATATTAGAACTTCTCAGAGAAACAGCTGAGAAAAATCTTTGTAACTGCAGGTGTGCAGATACAGACACATGCAGGTACTTCACACTGGTGCGTACAGTAATCATTGAAATGAAGCTGAGAAAAGGGACACGAAATATCCTAACAAATGCTGTAAATCATATTAAGGCTAAAGTTCCTTGTTACTGCTCCTTTGTTGGGCAATCTGGCTCGGTAATCACTGCCCTTGGCCACTCACTGCTCTTTCCTCAAGCCTCTGGAGAATATCTTGCCTTGGTTGTGTTCGCTCAGTTGTCTGTGTTGCTCAGGCTTCGAAAACAAATTAAAAACAATCTGAGGCTGTGGTGCTGCTGCCCTCTCTTCCTGCTACTGACCTTACATCAGCTCTGGAGGCCATACAGCTGCAGACAAATTGGACCAGAGAACTGTTTTCACTGAAAAATGACCTTTAAGGAAGAATTCTGGGTGAGGGCTAGAGCCTGCACAGGAACAGGGATGGAAATATGAGGATGGAGCAGGGTGGAATTTGGGACCGCCTCTTCACAGCAGCGCACTGTCCAACTGGCTCCAACTGGTTGTGAATCTGCAGAGTAAACGGGATAATGTGAAATGATCCTTTTCAGAAGCACCTTCAAACCTTCAGCTTCTTTTTTTCCACTGACCTACTTTGCAGCGCAGTTACACAAACAACTGCATCAGCACACGCAAGGACGTGCTGATCTGTGGTGCAAAGATCTGTCGCCACAAAGCAACTGTGGAGACAGTGAGCTTTTTAACCTGAATTGTTGCCAGAGAAAAAAGTCATATCTTTGTATGGCATGATAAAAAGGCTGGAAGTTGTAGAAAGTTGAAAAGGAAATGCACAGCACTGATATCCCTTAACGAATGGTTCTTAAAATGTTGCCCATCTCTAAAATACATGCAAATTCGGTGTTAAAGTGATAAAATTAACCAGTCTCTAGGACTAAATGACTTTTGCATATGTTTAGTGTATTCTACCTTTCATGTTAGGCTTTCAAAGTGTGTAAGTTTCCAGATCATTAACAACATATACTGTAATTTTGGGAAATATTTTTGCAGCAAGAGCTTGTGCTGACCACTGGAACAGTGCGCCAAGAGGCCAGCTCTGCTCTCCACTGACATCTTGCATTCAAAACCAGAGCATGGCCTCTGCAACAGAAGTTGGATTACTCTGGTTGATTCGTAGGCTGTATTTCTTCTGAAGCTGAATTAGACATATTATTTAATCATAAAATACATTTTTATATATACTTGCATCAGTATCAGCTGAAGTGAGAGTTGATTATAGGTTTCTAGATCACAGTGGACTCAAAGGGGTTGTAACCAACTACTTTTCTGTCTCAAACCAAAATTCAAGAGTAAACATTTAGCCTAGAGGATTCATCTACAGTAATGGCTCTTAATTAATTTTGAGTTCCCTTAAAATTTCCAGTGAAAATGCAGGGTCCATTTTAAGTATGGCACGCTTAGCAACATAACTCTCAGCTAATAAAAGGCTTCAAAATTATTACATGCAACTAAGGCTCAGATGCCTGAAGGAGGGAAGCAAATTCAGTTATTTCCAGTAACACAGAATTAAGTGTCCTGTGCATCTTCACATAGTATCTGAAGTCCTGTGAGGATTGGCTGAGGGAACTGGGCTTTAGTCTGGAGGAGGCTCAGGTGCATTGCTCTGTGCAACTGAAAGGAAGGTGTGAGGAGCTGGGGGCCTGCCTCTTCTCACAGGTAGCTAGTGACAGGACTAGAGGGAATGGCCTCAAGTTGCGCCAGGGGAGGTTCAGGTTGGCAATGAGGAGACATTTCTTCTCAGAAAGAGCAGTCAGGCACTGGGACGGGTTGCCCAGGGAGGTGGTGGAGTCACCATCCCTAGGGGTGTTCAAGGAAAAGTTGGATGTAGTGCTTAGGGACATGGTTAGTGGGGTGGGATTGGCGATGGTTGGACCAGATGCACTCGGAGGTCGTTCCCAACCCTCACGGTTCTGTGATTCTTTTGCACTGTGACTCGCACGCCATGGCCGGCGTCGGACCGGCTGCCGAACACAACGGCCATAACGCCGGCGCCGGGCGCTCCCCGCGGCCGCTCGGGGCGGGGCTGGCGCGGCGGGGGAGTGACGCCGGGCGGCGGCGGGGCCGCCCCCGAGGCAAGATGGCGCCTCCCAGGCAGGCGGGCGCGGAGCCGCCGGGTAACGGCAGCGAGCGGCGGGGCGGGGGGGGGGCAGGAGGATGAGGAGGAGGGAGGGGAGCGGTGGCGGCGAGGTGGGTGGGGGCCTCTCCCCGGCCCGCTCAGCAGCAGGGCATGCCGCAGAGCCCGAGCACGCTGCTCCTGGGGCTGGGCTGCGTTTCGGCGGCCACGTTATCAGTTATCAAAGCGTTCAGCTGCGGGAGGCGTGGGTGAGTGGTCTTGAAGAGACGCGACACCGCAGAACGTATGGGAAGGGGCAGCGCGGTCCCTGAGGTGCAGTACCGCTCTGTTCGGACCCGCAGGGTAACGCAGCGTGGCGGGGGTCCTGTCCAGGGCCCGCCTGTTGCTGCGTTTCCTGAAACTCCTCATGCTGCCAGGCAGCACCCAGCCGCACGAGGTTTAATTAAACAGCAAGAAATTACACGGCTATCACCAGCTGTCTCTGACACGTTGATAGCAGGAGCATCCTTTATAGCTGCTGCTACGCCTGCTTGATTTCATACTGCCCGCTATTTCTTTTTTTTTTCTGAGTGATGGAGGAAGTTGTGCCTGCAGCTGGAGCCAGGCAAGGCTGCTGAGCTGGGCTGCCATGTGCGAGGAGGAGTGGCCCCCTTGCTGCGAGGGGCAGAGCCTGCCCAGCCCAGCAAGTGGGCTGCTTTGAGTGCCAGTCGCTCCTTGTCGTGCCTCATTTTGTGTTCTTTCACAAGCACGTGGTGAAATACAGCGTGTAATACTGTTGAAGCTTGATTGATCCTTTATTAAAGGCTTTGGAAGCAGTTTGTAATCCTTTATTCCTTTCCAGGGCCTCATATGACCAGATGATTTTGTACTAATAAACTTTTAACAGAAGCGCGTAAATAAAAATAATAAAATAAATAAATAAATAAACCTGAGAATGCATGCAAGCATCAGAAAACTTTTTTTTTTTTTTTTTTTTAAATCAAATTGCAAGCTTTGAAGTCCTGTTTCGTATGGGAAGGAGATCACGTATTTATCCCTCTTTATATGCATTAACGGTTGTACGTGGGTTGGATTGGGAAAAGGAGATGGATATACTTTTTGTTTTCATCCTCTGAGCTGTTGAGCTGCCACAGTGAAAATGGTAGAGTTTATGGTTGTTGAATGGCTGTAAGGCTGGACAGCTGTACAGAGGGGCACCTTGAGTGCTGGGCCAAGTTACTTGTAACATTTAGAAATGTTAGAACTTGTTTTAGCTGATCTCATTTCTCAGCTAGTAATTCCCCTGCTCATATGATCTCAATCCACAGCATTTACTTTGGGGAAGTGAAGGAGGATTAGGATATTAGGATTTTTTTTTTAATTCTGTGTTCCCTTTCAAAAAGGGTTCACTTTTGTTCTGTCTTGGTGTGATCTGCTAAGCTAGTCCCAGCCCAAGAGCTCTGTATCTTTTATATTTTGTTTCAGTAGAGTGTAAAATTTATTTGTCCTGGGCCCTGTTACCACTGTTGCATTGCTGCTATTTCTGTTAGAGCTATGGAGATTATTTTTCTCCTGGACTCATCTGAATGGAGGAAGGACCTGGTTTCCCAAGGCTCAGCAGTGATCTTTATAAGTTAATTTTTTTTATCAAATTTTGTTGATAAAAAGTTGAGGTAGGAACAGAGTTTGTAAACAGAAGAAAAAAAAAAAGCTGGCCTAATTTCCTCTGCTGAGGGATTTCTTCAAACATTTTTTTTTTCCATGTATTATGTAGCAAACTCTTGCATCCTGCTTCTTCTGGAGAGGGAAGTTAAGGGAGTCGAATGTGGACTGGGAAGGGCAGTACTTGGTTTGGCACTGCAGACTCCCAGTCCCCAGCCTTGCTTTTCTCCAAGGGACAGAGTTCATTGCCTTCTAGCATGGCTTTATGAATGGAGCCTGCCCGATTTCTGAGTTCTCTGGACTTGTCTACAGTCTTTGTTTCCAACTTGAAAACAGCATTGACAGTGTGGCAGGGCATACCTTAAAGTGGTGTAGGCTTCCTCATGGAAGAAGAGTCATGTGCTACCCTTAGCAAGGATGAGGAAAAGGGATTTTGGTGGACATGGAGATGCACAGTGTGTTTATACAGCGGTCTGCTTCTGGTACTAGCAGCTACCTTTATGATTCCCACACCATTTCCTGCAGCCTTACCAAGCTGCTGCTGAAGAAGGACAGATTCTGAAAGCTGCTTCAGGATACGGCTCACCGCGGCCTCGGGAGTGGAAGTTAGGCAGAAACCTGCTGCGTGGCTGTGGGTGGGACGGGACCTTGAGGTGACACCCGTCCAGTAGGTGAGCTGGAGAGAAAGCAAGGCAGGCTGCCCAAGGTGCAGAGTTTAACACCAAACAGATGGCTGTAAGTGAATGTTTGCTTCCGGGTGCGGATGTGAGCGTGGGCGAAAAGTGAGTAAATAGAAGGGTCACGAGCCTGAGGGAAGCAGGAGTGGTAGTGAGAGGATGCTGCTGGCTTGGCTGTGGTGATCTCCGTGCCACGTGGTGACCTCGGGGCTGCGTTAGAGCTAGAGCCAGCTCTCGCCTGTGTGTGTGCTCAGAGCCTGTGAGTTACGCTTCACACCAGTCTGCAGAGCAGGCATGCTTTAAGGTTAGCATTTGGGTCTTTTGAAAAGCTTTAGCTCAAGGATTGGTTTTATTTTCGTGAATAATTTGATGGTTTAATACGAGGAGGTTTAAGGCTCTTGTATAAGAACCCGCTGAGCCTTCCTGTTGATGCTAAAGCCCTCAACTTGAAATGAGGGCGACTTTCTTCCTTTTTATTTTAATCTCCCTTCAAATACTTCATACTTGTCAGGAGCAAAATTTATTTAGATATTTTATTTGGCTTCTTTTGTTTGGAAGGCTAAATCTGATTGAGAGCTGTTTTTCCAGAGTGTTGGTATAAATGCAACTTTGTAATACCTGACCACCTTACCCTAACCCTCATCTTCTCTACAGCATTATTTTTATTTTTATTTTTATTTTTATTTTTATTTTTATTTTTATTTTTATTTTTATTTTTATTTTTTAATAATAACGATGTGAAAACAAGTTGCATGGCATGGCAAGAATGCAGAAACAAAAAGTCAAATCAGTTAAGAAGTTCCCAATGATAATTAAGTACTTTTGTCTGTAAATTGTAATGATTTTTAAGTTCATTTTTGTGCTTCATTTTTTTTTTTTTTTTTAACAATAATAGTGCATAATCAAAATACAAAACGGGTATTTACTCAGGGAGCAAGCACTAGCTGAGTTGAAGGTAATACCACCTCACTCATCTACATGCTTGTAGAAAGATTACTGGAGGTCCACTCTTGTAGACAGGTGTTTTGATAAAAGAGGAGGTATTTAATTATTTTGCTATGTTCATATTAATATGTCGGAGATGATTGTATATGCAGTCTAAAGAGGAAAATTAGGATTATGTACTCTTGCTTTTCCAAGAGGGAGATATGTTGGCTTTTATCATTTAATATCTTGGATTATGGTTTTGGATTTTTGTTTTCTGTTTGGCTTGGGCTTTCATTTAGATCTTAAGGCACTAGAATACTGCATCTTCGTTACTAAAAATACCTCTGGAATTTCTATTGTTTTCTACTTCAGTCATTGTTAGACATGTCCTGTCTGGTATCTTATAATCAGCATGTGATTTGCCTGGTAAGTTTTATTCTGGCGTTGCTGCAGAGCAGATCTTGCTGCGTTTGTACAAAAGGGAGTAGTGCCTGGCTCTTACCTGGCGGTGTATCTTGGCATTTGGTCACTAGCAGAAGTGCAAAATCATTATTTACTATCCTAAAACTAGGAAGAGGTTCTATAGCTGTTTAGTGAACTTGTGACTCAGCTGAAGAATTGAGTTTGCTTGCTCGATTTATTTCTTTACATATCATTGCTGTGTGCACAGTGTGTTTATAAAGCAGTCTGCTTCTGCTTTATTAAGTCATTAAAGTAGGATTTTTGCAAATGGAGTTCCCTAGTTTCTGGTTGGCACTTGGGTACCACTTACAGTACAGTGTCTGGTACCAAGAGGCGGTTCTGCATCGTTGTTTGCATGTCACTATAGTGGAAATTATCACACTTGTTAGTGCTGGAAAGTAGTTCATATAAGGAGCTTTGTGTATGTCCTTGTGAACTTCTGATACTGTTGTTTCTGCAGGTGACTACTTAGGTAGAGGACCAATTGTGTCTAGTTCTGTTTAGACAGGTGCAGCTGTTACCTGACATTATGTGGTTGGAGCTCTAGGTGAAGTAAACCAATTACTGTTTGATTTAAGTAGAGGATTAGTTACTTTATTCTGTTTCTTAAATAGGAAGATCTCAGCTTGCTCAAGTGTATAGACGGAGAATTTCAAAGCTGCTTAAATATTGGGTTTATTTTCTAATGGCAGATACCCAGAAAAGCATGGAGGATGAAATTGAATCAGTTCTGCAGGAGCGGATAATGATTTTGGATGGAGGCATGGGTACCATGATCCAGCAACATGCCCTGTCAGAAGAAGATTTCCGAGGGCATGAATTTAAAGACCATTCCAAGCCTCTGAAAGGCAATAACGACCTTCTCAGCATAACTCAGCCTGATATAATCTGTGACATACACAAGGTAGGTGGTTCTGCCTGTCTCTTGACAAAAGGAAGGAGAATTTGGTCTTTGTGCTCCCCTCTTCTATTCCATGCACTACAGGCTCTCCTGAGTCTTTTGGGGATAGGGAAGCAAATGCTAGGTAGCCATGCGAATAAGAATGAACAGACTTGACTGTTCTGGTTCCGTAAGCACAGCATTCATGTCTTTGTTTCTGATGTCATCCAGGCAGTGTTCTTTTAATTTCCTTTTTGATACATGTCCCATTGCATTTCTATTAATTGTAGATTCTGACTTATTTCCTTATTCTTTTTTTCATCCTTAGCCAATAGTTACAATGCATCTAAGTAGGACAAATCTGAATTCTAGGTGTGTGTTTCTATAATTGCGTATTAAAGAGCTGTTAAATGTGGCAGCCTGAAGGCTGCCTTCCCTTAGGGAATGTGTATGTTTCCTAATGAGTATATATGCTTCTGTGTTTTATTCCCTAGAACATTGATGTGTGGCCCAGAGAATAAAACAGTTTAGGGTTGATCATGAGGAGTTTGTAAACAGATTTTATTGTTTTCATAACTTCAATTAGATGTAAAAATAAACAAAATCTTACAAAACAAAACTTAAACCTTTTAGTTATTGCGTTCCAGATATTTCTAGGTTTTAACTGTAATAACTGGGAACATTAGTAGAATAGACTGCTACTTGTTGATATTCAGTTGAAGCCTTACATATGTGTTTTTTATTTTCCCAATCATTTATTTAAAAGATTTGTATTTCATTGCTTAGACTAATAATTGGCTTACTTTTGTAAAACTTCATATGTACTCTAAATTTTTATATTTATATTCTAACCACCAGTTAATGGATGGATTTTAACTAACTGGATTTTAAGAAAGACGAGTTGAAACAAATTAGCATCTTTCACCTATAAGCATTTTAGGAAGAAATATTTGTAGATGGAATGCAATCCCTGGACTGTCCACTGAGCTGTAGCGATTGTGAATTTTGGAATTTGTGTAGGCTGCTGGGTTTGAACTATTAATCTGATAAGATGGTTTAACAGCTCAGTTTTACAGAATTATTGGACTAATAGTTATGTGACTTGAGATTGAATACATTAAGTCAAATCAGAGATAACCTGTTATCATCTGTGCAACATTGGCCAGTTTTAAGTGCTTTGAAATAAAGACTGCCAAATACTCAGAATGGCACTAACCACTTCCATATACCTTCTGTAATGCCTTAAATGTGCACGTGTTTCACAAATGTGTGGAGGGATAATATTTGTGTCACTTAAGAGAGGTTATAAAATGCAGGCTAGAATATGCAAAAGTATTTCAGTTTGCATTGATTTCACTTTACTTCAGTGGGAAATTAGACAGCCAAACTGGAGATGAACACTTGATTATTTTGTGAATCTAGGCCAGTAGTTAAACTTTAAATGTGATCTGTGCAAAGCATAATTCTTCTAAGCTTGCGTTGTGTCCCAGTGTGCTCTTGTGCCATACAGCTCCCTTTATAATACATACGTTTAGTAATTCTCTGTTGTTGTTTAACTCCTGCCTTACTCTGAGTCTGTCCACAGCAGCCCTTGCTTGCTGATCCAATTGGACAACTCCCTACCATGTCCCTGTGTCAAAATCTGGGATGTGCTTCAGGTGCTGAAGTCAGTGACAGAAGGAACTCAATAAATGTCACCTGTTAATAGAAAGTGTGGCTGACACTAAAACTCTAGAAGGTGGTTGTATGGAACGCTTCTATTGCTTTGATCCTGTGCCTTAAACTTTGAGTAAGGACTTCAGAACCTGATGTGCTTTGAATTAGGAGATGATTTGTGACATTTTCTTCAACCGAGTAAGACAAAATAAGTGGGTTGCCTTTGTCTTCACTCCAAATCTCATTTCTGGAGGTCTTGGAGATCTTTTTTTCTCTGTTATGTCTTGCAGGAATACTTGCTGTCAGGTGCTGACATCATTGAAACAAACACTTTCAGCAGCACCAGAGTTGCACAAGCTGACTATGGCCTTGAGCATTTGGTAAGAATTCTAAACTATTTACACATTAAAAAGTTATTAAAGATTTCCGTCTTAGCAGACAAGATTAACTTAGTCACAGGGTCTTTTGAGACTGTTTATTTACTGCATTCTGTGTCTCAAGCCAGGTGATAGGGTCATAGCTCATTGCTGTTGCAGCAGACAATAGAAGGAAGACAATTATGCTTGCTATGTGTGACAGCCGTACCCCTTGTTGATGGAAGCACAGGCCATAATTGTCTGTCCTAGATTTTGTCTGAACACTCACAGAACTTCTCAGTTCTGTTGTGCTTCAGTGCTTCCAATGTACCAAGAGCCACAAAGGAAATGCTTTTTTTTTTTTTTTTTTTTTTTTTTTTGTCCTCATTACTATCTGTGTAGTTGGCTTTATGGCCTGGAGGTCTGTCACAAGCAGGGTAGGATTGTGCTGGTGTTATGTAGAATTGCTTTCAAGTTTGCATTTATCATACCTATTCTGTGCTGTGTGGTGTTTGGAAAATTTGAGGGGTTTGTGAAAGAAAATACTTGGAATAAATACTAGAATAAAAAGTGAGTTTAAAAGTAGGTTAATTTTATCCTCAAAGTCCTGTTCTCCAGCTTCTGTTGACTCAGTAGGATTTAATTAGTACCTTACAGAATTAAATGTTCTGATTAGCGGCTTTAGGCTGAGGCATATGTGGGATGAGACCAGCCATGTAATGCTTTTGCCGAGATGTATAAAGCTGTTCCTTTTGAGGCTTTCTAATAGTACTTGTATGTGTTTGTGCATCTTAGGAGCCTTCAGAGTGTACTGCAGGCTTCAGAATGGAGGTGTTGTGTTTCTTTTAGGATGTGTTACACTGTGTTGAACTCTGGGTTTGTTGGTAACTTTCTGGTGTTGTTCTAGGTATATCGATTAAACAGAGTCTCTGCAGAGGTGGCTAGAAAAGCAGCAGATGATGTAACTGCTCAGACAGGTAAGCGGTCTTTATTTTGATTCCTTGTTCAGTTGTGCTACAGTCTTTGAAATGTTGCTAACCAGAGGCATGGACATAGCTTACAGATAGGGAAACCCTTCATTTTAGACATAGTAACAATGTTGTATCACCTGTTCATATTATGATAATCTCAGCATGTTCTGAGGATCTGGTCCTTAGCACATTCTGCATCCGTCCTGTGCCTGGGTGTTTTATGCTGCAACTGATAGACATCTTCCAAATCTGTTTTAGAGAAGAAAAATGCAGCAGTTTACAAGTTACTTAGGTTTGTAAGGTTCAACTCTTTGTACTACAGAATTAGGACAGATGATTGTATGTGAATGTGGATTAGCAATTACTCCTAGTATAACTGGTTCAACTTTAAGAACTACTGGAAAGTGCTTAGTTTCTGACCATCACCTCTAAATGTTTAGCCCTTCAGGGCTTCATGTGAAAGGATTATAGCTCATTTCTACTGCTGTCTTTCAAAGACAAGCAAAGTCCTCTGTACATTATTACCAAATATATTAAGCTGTATTTAGAGCTAGCAGTTCTTCTGTCCAGTTGAACACCTTACTGTTGTGATTCATCATATGCAGTAAAAATGTAAGATTTGAAATATTAATTTTATCTAGAGAAAAATGCCAGGATAGTTCCATGCTATGCATTTAAAGTAATTGAGTGAAGCTTCTGATGTCAGAGGCAAAGGTTATTTTCAAAAATTGAGTTAATAGCTTGCAATTGCCTTTTTCATAGATGTTTGTCTGTCTCATATGTATGCATTGAACATCTTGTTGTATAGAATTAAAACAAAAAAGTCAGCTGTGCTGTAATCTTAGGTGGTAATCAAACTCCCAATTTGAGAACAGTTTGATAGCTCTTGATCCCTGAATGATATGCATGTCTTGGTGTCATTGGAGGTTTTTGTTTGTTATTTTTTTTTACATCAAGCTGTCTGTCATTGTAAAACTGGAAGTAAGGTATATTTTTTTTCCCTCTTTTTTCTCCCAACCTCGTGTTGGTACAGGAATTAAGCGATATGTTGCTGGATCCATGGGGCCAACAAACAGGACACTTTCTGTGTCACCCTCTGTGGAGAGACCAGATTACAGGAACATAAGTAAGTATTGATAACCATTAAGTTCTTTAACTTAGGTGATAGATTGAAAGAGAGAGCTCCACATGAAGTTAATATCATTCCTGTTTTATAGCTTTTGATGAACTGGTTGAAGCCTATACAGAACAAGCCAAAGGACTGTTGGATGGAGGAGTTGATATCATGTTAGTAGAAACCGTATTTGATACAGCCAATGCCAAGGTGAGACTGCGAGAAAAAAAAATCAGTTATATAAGTATTTGGCATACCACCCTAAACAAGTTAAACATTGTATTTGAAAGAGATATTAGCTACTGCTTATTAAATATGTGAAAAGACTGTTCAGTCAACAGCTAACACGCAGAAAGTAAGGAAATGGTTTGAATTATCGAACAGCCTTTTCCAGAGTTTTCCTTTTGCCTTTTAGTGTTTACTGTTAATATCTCTCTGGCTGTCTGTGCCAGCTGTCCTCTTATTCCCAGAAGCTCTGCTGTATTGCAAAACATCTCCAAATGCATCTGATGTTTTTAATTTTCAGTGTAAGCATGTCTGTCCAAAGGATGCTTGTGGTGCACACCGGAGGGAGTGTCCAGTGTATCTGATTGCGGGAGTGGGAAGGCTTGTGAGACAGTCCTGTTAAAATGTGTTTATTTAGAGAGATCTCTAACACTTTGTCATCAACTTTAGAAAAGAAAAATTGGGAGTAGAGGGTTAGAAGGATAAAATAAGAGGCATAAAATATTGAAATATGCCAAAGTTCACCTGGTTGTGATAACATTGTTATTTTTCTCAAAATTGCTCAGTGCAGTGATGGAGTTGTTAGGGGACTTAAAACTGTCTTGCAATTTTATGTGGAAAAGTCAGGCTGGATTTGCATATAGCATTTCTTCAAGCTTTTGCCACAGGCTGATTAACACATGTGGTGGCATGATTCATCCTTTGCAGATTTAATCAGTCATCATGGAGTTTTGTTTTAGGATCTTATAGGCTTAACATTGTACTGAGGAAAGTTCATATTCACATGCAACATCCTTACCCAAAGGAGGCAGGAATTTTTCAGGACCTTCAAGGGTTGTGATAACAGTTCTTACTGTTAAAATTTGTGGTGGTTAAAATTTTTTGCACTGTGTGTCTAGACGGATGCAGGAGATGTGAACGTGTATAGTACACATAACTGTGTCTGGGATGGGGATTGTGGGGCAGACAGGAGGGAGAAGTACATGCTGATGTGATTTGGAGTTCAGAAAAGTCTTACTTGGTTATCCCATGGTGGTACTTTTCTATTTGTTACCAAAACACGTTTGAAAATCTAGAAGCTATTAGAAGTAAGAGGAAAACATCTTGACTGTAGTGAGATCTTGCAGGCAATTTGAGGTAGCAACTTGCATAAACATCCATAAAAATAAGTACAAAATAAATAAAAATAAACCCAGATAAAAAAGAACTCCCCAAAACTGCTGTGTTTTTTTTTTTTTTTTTTTTTTAACTTCTGTAGGCAGCTCTTTTTGCACTCCACAAGTTGTTTGAGGAAGAATATGCTCCCCGACCCATATTTGTAAGTATATATTATTTAATATTTTACATATACTTAAGCTAGATTGTGAACCCGATGGAGATGGTAGTTTAGTAAGCCCTTTTGAAATTCAGCTTGAAATGAAAATAATCAATGTTTTGGAAAAGTATTTTTTTTCACAATTTTGAGTAGAGAAATGCTTAGGTGTAGAGCTTTATGAAATCAGCTTTAGCTGTGTTCAGCTTATCGAAACTAAAGCCTAACTCTGCTTGAGTTTTGTCTCATCGCTTTGAGTGTACCACAGTTTGAGTGTACGTTTGTTTTGATTTTTAGTAGTTCAGCCTTTAAATTCTTGCTTTTACTGTTAATTTAATTCTGTTCCTTTCTCCACGTTCATTTAATATTTAGGTTTCTGGAACCATTGTAGATAAGAGTGGGCGCACCCTCTCAGGCCAGACAGGAGAGGCATTTGTCATTAGTGTTTCCCACAGTAAGCCACTTTGGTAAGGAAATGTATCTTTCTCTAGTAAGTAATTTGTAGAATGTGATTGTTTTGTTTTAACCCCTTGTTCATGGCAAAATGGAAGTTACACTAACTGTGATTGTGTTTAGTTACATGTATTGCTAATGTGTTCAGTTATGGTTCCCCTAGCAGAAATTATGTTTCCAAATGTGTTTTTTAAAACATAGCTATAAAAATAGTTCTGGGGTTTTGTTTGCTATAGCCCTGAAATCACAAAGCATTTTAAAAAAAAACTGAAACTGTAGTTTGACATCTTTTACTATCTCGGATTCTGCAAGGACCTAATTCCTGGTATGCTTACATCTCTCAGAGGGAAGCAGTGTCAGCTCAAAATGTTTCAGGGTGAATTGAACAAACAAATAATAAGATTTCATCCCCGTGTTCTTTTTACTGAGCTGTTACAAATTGCGTAGGTTTCCTGAGTGTTTTTTTTCAAAGATGTGCGTTGTTATTTTGAGAGATCATGATGCCTCTGTTTACTTGTGTTCTTTTCTGTAGAGTAGGGAGGAAAAAAAATGAGATTAAGATATGTGAAAATGCATACTATAGCAGATTTTGGTCATTGTGCAAGGTCTTGCCTGTTAATTTGAATACCATTCCCTATTCCTCTATTGTTCTATGTCTCTGTGCCCTTTTCTACTTCCTCCTTATTTCCTCTTCCCTCTTTACCACTTCTTTCAGGTTGTTTCTTCGCACAAAAATAACACTGGAAATATATATGTTTTTCCTAAAATATTTTAACTTAAAATATTTAATACACAGTTAGCCGTGCATGCTAACATGCACATTGTGATGAGCCATTGTTTGTTTTTACAACAAAATTCTGGTGAAAATGTGCAATCTGTCATTTCAGTAATACAAAAGCAGAAGACTGCATTCACAGCTTTTCTGACTGCCCTTGAGGCTCCACTTTCCCAGACCAGACGGTGCTCCAGAAGTAACATATGGAGCCTCTTGGAACAGGGTGGTAGTTGACTCCTTTACTCAGCCTTACAGCCTAGTGATCTGTATTTGGCATGAGTCTGTCTCAGATAAGCTTGCTCGTAACTCTCTTCTCTCTGAAGAGGAGAGAAGGGCACTGGAGCAGAAATTAAGAATTTATTAAACCATATTTCATAAAAGCTATCTTATGTGTCTGAATGCTTAGGGCCTGTTTCTCATGTACACGAAGGCTACTACGTAGCACTGTGGCAGAAGGCTCTTAGTTGTGGGAGCAGATTGCATTTAATTGCTCCTGTTGCCAGATTGGTATACAGTGACTTCAGGGTTGAGGAAAAAGCTGATCAGTAGTGGTATCCTAGGGATAACGTTATACTCATTCCCTGGTTTCCATTAGGGTTTTGTATGTGCTGTTTAGGGTGGTGTGTTGTCCTTAAATCAGTTTGGTTTTGGGCCCACCTAAAACATCTGCACTCTGCGTCCAGTTGATGGTAGTAGCTGAGAAATATGTCAACTGTACCTAGTAAATGCTGCAGGATGTGTGCGCAGCAGCTTTCTGCAAAGGATGCTCAGATATGGAATGGGTTTCCTTTGCATTATTTCAGATCTGTGATTACTTCTACAGTGGTAGTGTTAAGAAGGCATATTTTGAGTTCAGGGCCCTGGTGTTGTGTTTGCTCAGGTCCCAAGGGCACTCTGCAGTCTCAGCTTTCACAGGATCAGATGCATGACTTATGTGAAGAAATGAGACAGGAAGGGAGGCAGTGCTCAAGATGAGGTTGTGCTGGTTATTACATTATGGCAGTAGTCACAGCATACGGGCAGGCTGGTTGAGGGCCACAACTGACCAAAGAAACTTATGCTGTTGGAAGAAGGAATTTCTGTATTGTTTGTTGCAGAAATGTGACTGTATGGTACTCAAGGCCCTGGTTTTGGATCATGCTGTGAGCCCTTCAGATTTCAAACATTTGCCATTCTGTCCCACAAGTGAATCAGGCTGCAAATATTTACTGCTATTACCTGTGAGGTTATCAAGCCCCTGCCTGCTCCTTGGAGGCAGAAAAAGTCAAAATGATTTTGTGCTCCCAGTCCTGTGCAGGGCTTTATTGCTTTGACCTCTGGAAAACTGAGTGGGCATGTGTGCACTTCATTACCTGAGCTACCACTGAGGCAGCCTTGGGCTCACTTAGTTGGGAAATATGTTTGTTCCTCTTTCTGGGGTATCTTTTTTTTTTTTTTTTTTTTTTTTTTTTAACATCTTCCAGCAGCACTGCGAACACCTTTTCAGTTTTGCAGTGTTCCTAAGACGTGTTTTAGAATGGTGCAGAGATATCAGGAGGCATATGTGGAAGATCATCTATATGCTATGTGGAAGGGAAATTTTCATTTTTAAAATCAGTGTAGACATTTCAAGTAGAAGTTAACGTTTTTCTTATCTGTGGCTGAATGAAAGAAATCATGATTGTAACTTGTATAGTGGTAAAATTGTAAGAGGTTTATTCATGCAGAAAGACTTCTGTTGTAGTACTGTCTAGGTCACTAATCACAGAATGATCAAGGTTGGAAGGGACCTCTGAAGATCACCTAGTCCAATGACCCTGCCAAGCAGGGTCAAGCAGTGCATGTTGCACAGGATGACATCCAGGCGGGTTTTGAATATTTCCAAAGGAGGAGACTCCAGAACCTCTCTGGGCAGCCTGTGCCAGTGCTCTGTCACCCTCACAGTAAAGAAGTGCCCTCTCATATTCAGATGGAACTTCCTATGCTTCCGTTTGTGCCCATTGTTTCTCATCCTCCCGCTGGGCACCACCGAAAAGAACGATGTGAGATGATATGTTGAGCAAAAGCAGTTGCCCAAACTTAGTGCTGCTTTTTGGTGTCTTGAGAAATGCGTTCCGTGTCTTCCAAGGTTGACTTATTTATGTATAATTTTTAATGAAAATTGTGAGTTAGTGGCTTGAAGTAATCCTTGCTCTTCTAACCTTTTTCTTACTTCTGCCTGTAGAACAAGGCTGCTTTTTAGTCTGTCATTCTCATTGCATGTGTTCTCTTTTGCATGTAGGAAATAGTTATGTTGTTGCTGCAGTTGCTTTTAGAATGCTTTTCAGAATTTTCTCATGGATTTTGAACCAAAATTTTAATTTTCTGCTCTCAATTCAATTCAGTCCAGTTCCCCTTGCACTTTTCTCCCTGAGGGTTATCCTTTAACACAGGTTTGCTCTGTTGATGGTGATAAAAGAAAGGGTTGATTGTATTACAGATAACTGTGGGAGTTAACTAATCTATCTACCACTAAGATTCTTCTGTTTTTTGTGTGTCATTTTGTCTGATGTTTTTAATCTGAAAATAACTTAAAAAATATTTTACAGCATCGGCTTAAATTGTGCTTTAGGAGCAGTTGAGATGCGACCATTCATTGAAACAATTGGAAAATGTACAGAAGCCTATGTCATCTGTTACCCTAATGCAGGTGTGTTGTGTGTGCGTATTCCTATGCTTATGGGCAGAAGAAATATAATAACCATTCCATCTCATCAGAAATAAGAGCTGAACTACCTTGAAAAGGTGGTTATTGCTACATGAACATGAGATTAAGCATTTTATAAACTGCTGAAAGTGACTGGTGTTCTGTGACAGTGAACCCAGAATGTTCTCTTGCGTAATTAATAATGTATTGAGTAATGATTGCAAAGGTGATGAGGCATTGTAGTCCTCTTCCAAATGTAGCTACTTTTTGACTTTCATGTAATTTAACTCTTCTTGTGGGCTTTAACAAATCTTAATACAAGGAAAATTATTTTTCAAGGTCTTCCTAATACTTTTGGTGGTTATGATGAAACTCCAGAAGTGACTGCCAAGCACATAAAGGTATGAAATATTTCTTGCGAATGTGTCACATGACGTATACAGGAACTCATTGCTTGTATGTGTTACAGTACTGTGTTTCTTTTGCTGAGGTGGCTTTACATGTCATTTGGATTGTTTTTAGACATTATGTTCAATGATAGTGCTTTTGAGTTACCATGTTAGGAAAAGCTACTTAAGAAACTCTGAAAACCTTAATTACTTTGGTGTCCTACACTTAGGTAGCTTTTCTATAGCTTGATCTGTGGATATTACTAATTTACACTCTTACATTGTTATTTTCCTGTTTGGAAATAGTTCCAAAAAAATAAAATAAAACAATTGAGCAGTTTTTATGACCCTGGGATTTTAGAGTTGTTTGTGTAGAATGGCTGAAGCTGGTGGTGTTCCAGTGCAAGGTGTTCTTCCAAGTGCTACTTGATCTGTACAAGACAGAACTGTGTGGCTGGTGTTGTATTGTATCAGCAAGAACACAGTGTCTGCTGGATGCTAATTCCCTTTTATACTACAGTATGACTGGTCTTTGATACTCATCCAGGTTTTCATCTAGGGCTTTAGTATAAAATAGGCCAGTTTCAAATGTAGTTTCCCGAAATGAGGTTTTGGAATTGCCGATCAGCCTTAGGTAAGTATCCACATCTCAAAACAAATCCTAAAGAGAAGAAATAGTACTTGCTTCTTAAACTATTTTTCTTGTGATGCCCTGAATTGTTAACCATACAGAGAATATATATTTAAGGTGGCTTTATTAAAAAAATGAAATACTTTATTTCCCTCCCTTTTACAGAGTTTTGCACTGGATGGTTTGGTCAACGTAGTTGGAGGTTGTTGCGGTACTACACCAGAACATATCAGGTACCTAATGAGCTAAAACTTAGAGTGCACTGGGAAGGAAATTATATGCTGCTTTTGTGGAGCGATATTCCATGGTTTATCTTAAAGTTTTCTGAAAAGATGGAACAAAAATAGCAGCAACATATGGAGTAGAATAACCCGGCTTTCACAGTTGTGTGTAACTTGAAGTAGAGGCTTGGTTCAAACAAGGATTATGCCTATACTGTTTTATTGTCAAAATTGTTTGTTTCAGAAGTATTTCTCCCTATTTACCATTGGATAGAGTAGACTTGCCATCTCTGCTTCCTTACTCTTTGCATTTTTCCCTTTTCTGGCAATCTTAGCAACAAGGTAAAACTTAAAGTTTCCTTTGATGGTAGAAGAAAGAGAAGTATGGAGGTGCATTCGGGGAATGTCTAAGCAAGAGATCTGGGAACACTATACAGCTGTTGTTAGTCCTGGCCTGAAGGAGTGTTTTGCAACTTTCTCAGTAGAAGTAGGTCAGTGGAAAAAATTTCCTTTTTTACCTAGGCTTAAAAGAGAAGGGGCCCTTATGGTTTATTTTCATTGTGATACAAACTGGGGAGAGGTGGTATGTGAGCGTGTAGAGAGGACAGTATGTGTCACTCGTGAGTGGAGCAAAGAGAAAGATAATAGCTCACGAACATTGTGAGTCATTCCAGCATCTGAGAAGAGCATCTCAGCAAAGAACAATGCTTGCTCTTTGTTTTTTCTTTTGCTGCAAACAGCAATTGCACAGCTTGGTAATTAGGAATATGGTAAGTCAGTGTGGCTGAGGACTGGTACTCATATCCATCGAGTATCCCATTTACGTAATATCTTGCATTCGCTATTTGATAAGTCTTCATTCGTGTATGTTCCTGCAAATAGCTACAGTCTTCTAGGAATATGTTTTTGGTTTTGGCCACTCAAAGTGCTAAATAGTCTTGTCTGCTGTGGGGCTAAATTCGTTATGTAGGTGTATGTCTACTATGTTACGTTTGAATCTTGTTCGGAGTAATTTAATTTTGATCAAAAACTTTCCTCTTTACTTTGCTCTTTCTGTAATACAGGAAGATTGCTGAAGCTGTGAGATCATGTAAACCTCGTGTTCCACCTTCTCTCTCTGAAGGATATATGCTGCTATCAGGTAAAACAGAGTGTAACAGGTTGAGCTTTATACCTCACGCAGCCTTCTTTTATAAATTTATTTACTCTTTTCTACTGATCAGAATGGTATTATGAGTTTCTGGTTCTACCTGAATCCAGCAAGCTTATTAATGTGTAAGTTTATCAAAATCTTGTTTGGCTGAAGGATTAGTGGAACGCTTTTTTTACATCTTGTGTAATATAACAGAACTAGCATATTTTACTCAACAAATCTCAAATACTTTGTAGTGGTTGAGTATCTTTATCCTTACTTTGCGCTGGGGGAGAGTTAAGCACAGGGATCAGGTGATTTCACTGCAATTGATGGCAGAGCTGGGAAGAGATGTTTGTTCACCTGCTTTGAGACAGCTGCCCTGTGTTACCTCAGGTGTGGATACAGTTGTACTGGTATAGTGTTCCAGAAACACATCTAGATCTAGAACATCTTTTGTTTTAGCTAAGTCTGGATCTGTATGTTATTAAGTCAGGCCTTCCTTTAAGTCTGCAAGTAAAGCAGTTCCTTCTTTTTTGGCTGGTATTTCTTATCTTGAGTCAGTTTAGCATACACTATTTAAATCATGGTTGACTCATAATTTCATACTGTAGCCCACTCTGTTCTACTATAAGGTTCATTTGCCTCTGAGTTGCCTGCTGCCTGAGGGTCCTGCTTGGCTGGTTTCTCAGAACTCAGGTATGCTTTGTTTGTTAGTCAGGTCAGTGGGCTCTTTCTCTGGTGGTGGTAGTCATGAGATAACATAGTTGGAAATTGAGAAGAAGGTTTGTATGTGCTTGCACATACATATGTAGAGAACTGTAGCTTCGTGTCATTTTAGTTGGACAAATCTAGTTGTTATGTTTTGCCAGTTGGGTCAATCATTGACCCTTACCGAGGAAGCATAAAAACATTTGGCATGTGTTGGAAGTTGTTTCATTGCATCTCATTGCTAGTTACTCAAGCGACTGGGTGTGCTGAAGAATCACTATTCTTAAAGTAGAGTAATAAAGTAATAGAGACTTCTATTTCACAACTTTAAAAGTGCTTTATTCTGTTTTCTGTTTTTACAAAAATGTTCAAAAAATCTTTTTAAGGTCTGGAGCCATTCAGGATTGGGCCATATACCAACTTCGTTAATATCGGTGAACGCTGTAATGTTGCAGGATCAAGGAAGTTTGCTAAACTCATCATGGCAGGCAACTATGAAGTATGCCTTTTAACAATAATCTTAACAGATAATGCTATTTTTTCATTGCTCCATTTCATTGTGTTAGTAGTTTGTTTTGCTAGCAAAAAGCACTATTCTACAAGAGTAAGAAAAAGAGAGCTTATTTTCTCACAGCTCCTAATAAATGTGTAATAATAGTTTCACAAGGGCTTTTTTGATAGGTGTTACAGGAAACATGACTTTTTATTTTAAATTAAGTTACACAATGGATAGTGGTTTAGAAATTGTCCTAATCTGTGCTGTATCTAGGAGGAGATTCTCAGTTACTTGAGATTCTGTCCTGAAGCATACTCTGCTGTTGATGCAGTCAAAATTAAAGCCTTTGTTTGTTAGGAAGTCTGACTCTTTTGTGAGGACCCACACTTGCAGGTCATGAGGCAAGACCTATATTGACTTATCAAATAAAGAAAGCTTTAAAGGCGAGGCAGGTTGTTTGCAACCATGAGCAACTAAAACCTTTTTTTTTGTCTTGTCAGTTGACAGAGGGACAAAAAAGAGAAAGTGAGCAGATATGGGTGTTAAATAATTACTTGGTCTGGAGGGAAAGCTTTAGTTTCTTAGTACTTGGTGATTATTCTGCAGCTGGAAAAAATACCAAACAACTTCCAAAAATAAAGTACTCTGTTATAAAAGCACATAGCTTGTGACGCCAGACCCTTATTTCATACCATTACAGAAACTGTTTTCCTGTAATGATGGCAATCACAAGTCCTTGTTACTGTGCAAATCTTAGCTCTTTTATTTATGTGTATGACCAGCTGTCAAAAATCAGTGTCATGCTAGATCTATGGTGTCATATTTTTGTGAATAAAGTAATTATCAGTTGTGCTGTACTAACAACTTTTGTACATTGCCATACATCATGAACCATTTCTATATGCTTTTAAGGACTGTCCTATGAACTTTCAAATGTTTATTTTGATGGTTTGTAGGGCTACGCAGTTATTTTGGAGAGGTAAAATGTTATGTGAGAATGACTATGTTTTCTGCTGACTGATTTTTTTGTTTGTTTTGAATCTCTTCTTTAGGAAGCCCTGAGTGTAGCCAAAATGCAAGTGGAGATGGGGGCCCAAATTCTTGACATCAATATGGATGATGGGATGCTGGATGGTCCTGCCTCAATGACCAGATTTTGTAACTTGATCTCTTCAGAACCTGATATTGCAAAGGTTGTAACTGAGTCCTTCCAAAGCACAAAAAGGAACACCTTATTGAGTTGGAAACTGCCTTTCAGAAATTTTGATACTGATTTATTTAGTAACCAGTTCAGATGCTTAACAAGCAAATGTAGATGTTACTTAATGGGTAAAAGGTATTGTAGTAGAGAAGGCCGTTGGAGGGAACAGAGATTTTAACAGTCTGTAACTGATTTCAGCTAATTTTGTTATTCTTTTTCATTGGTTAGAAAAACTGAATATAGGTTCCTTTTGCAGCAGTTATGAGCCATATCTGTATATTGGCAGTACATAACTGTATTAAGTAAGACAAAACTTAGAATTGCTGTTGATATAGGCTGTCTTTAAAAGATGGTTCTGCAGAGTGCATTCTCTGAAAGTGAGCATCTCATCCAGAAATCCAAGATAGTATGGGGAGAAACTAGAGGTCTCTGTGATATGTAATGGAATTGCCATAGGAGCTTTTGAGTTAAATTTGCTCTAGGTTTTGAGTTTAAAGCAAAGTGAATCTACAGAAAAACATCTGAAAGCTTTTTATTCATAAATAATGCTAAATGTTGTTTGCATTTTATGTCAAGTGGGCAAGCAACATGTGGAATGTTTAACTCATAACTTGTATGTATCCCTCTGCTCACTTCTCTGTTCTTTACAGGTGCCATTATGCATTGATTCCTCAAATTTTTCAGTGATTGAGGCAGGTTTGAAGTGTTGCCAAGGAAAATGCATTGTAAACAGCATCAGTCTGAAGGAAGGTGAAGAAGACTTTCTGGAGAAAGCAAGGAAAATTAAGTTGTATGGAGCAGCTGTGGTTGTCATGGCTTTTGATGAAGTGGGTCAGGTGAGCATTTGTTAAAGGAGATCATTTTCTTCTAGAGTGTAATGCTTTGTTTCATTGGCACAGGTGATTTAAAGAGGTCTATATATAGTCTTAGCAATAGTTTTGACCCTGATATGTAATCATTCCTTGTTCTGCTCTCATGTGTGAGGAATTCAAGTTCTGCTCCAAGTATAGCTCTGCTAGCACAAGAGAGTGTCTCTCTTGCTATTCAGACATGTTGAACTATTTCCTCCTTGATAAAAGATATTTTTTTAGTCCAGAAGCAGTTTTGCATGCAAGTGGAACCTCTGTGAATTCATTTAGTTCTTTCAAAAAATGCATATTAAAACTTTGCATAGGATGGTGGAATGTTGAGGAACAAAAGTATTTTTAGAGTTGAATCAAAACTCCGAGTACATGTGTGGTGGAAGTGGTGTTTTTAATACAAAATTATTGCATATGATCTTTTTCATCATTCATGATGTTCAGACTGGGATTCCTCAGTTTTGATTTGGTGGAATTGTACATAATTTCTGGGGGCTTTATTTTTTGTGTAACTTTCACGTCAGAATGCTTTTTCTTTACCAGGCAACAGAAACAGAAACCAAGATTGCAATCTGTTCCAGAGCTTATCACCTACTTGTGGAAAAAGTGTGCTTCAATCCAAATGATATAATATTCGACCCTAATATTTTGACCATAGGGACTGGAATGGAAGAACATAACCTATATGCTATTAATTTTATCAATGCTACTAAAGTCATAAAAGTGAGTTGTAAGTTTACTTTAACTCCAAGTATTTTATTGGGATTATTTAAAAGGAAAGCAAACAAAGACTACCACCACCAACAAAGCATTGCAGTAAAATAATAGGCCTTTTAAATTATCAAGGGGACTTTTCCTCTGAAGTGCAGACATTTCCCAGTATTGCTGTGTTTCCAGTAGAGCTTTGAGTAGTTGTATAAATATTTTTCAACCTGCTAACTCTGATGTAAATATACTATATCAATTAAATGAGGTAACAGTCACATTCAGTGTTATGGCCAAAAGGAGCTCTTCGAAGTCTTATGAAAGCTGTCCTTTTAAATTAACGTAATTTTGGTTACTGTGGTTGGGTTTGTGCTATAACCTGACCTTTTATTTAGCTAAAATACTTGTAAGGAGGAGCAGCAATGAAGGGCATCACCTGAATACAGCTAAGTAAGTAGTACTGTTGCATTTCACAAGGCGACTTAATTGATCTGGAGATGCTCTGTTAGTAGCAGTCTGGGGCTTGAACATCTGCACTGGATATCTTATCACCACAGGACTTTAGGATGGGAATATGTACTCTTGAGGTTAGCAGCTCAGCTACTGCCTGCTCCTGAGTCATGGGAGCAGGCAGGTAGGTTGCTCCTGTATCCAGAGGAGGGGCATATTTGGGGGATGGAAGGCCCACAATGAATCTGCAGGGGGAACATCTGGAATCCTGCGAGGGGAGGACCTATACGTTTAGAACAGGACCAATGACCATTGGACCCATAGTAGTTGTTTACATACATCTAGGATGCATCGTTCCTTGTATTTGTAGCTTTTTCTACAGAATTTTGAATTGTTTTTCATGAATTTAAATAATTAGAAGGATGTGGAATAAGAAGGAGAGAAGGGGTGTATAGCCAATTCATCACTGCTCAGGGCTGAATGCTTTGCTTAAGTTTTCTTTTTGGAAAGCCCTTTTCTAAAATTTGTGTGCAATCCTCACAGGAAACACTGCCAGGAGCTAAGATAAGTGGAGGTCTTTCCAATCTGTCTTTCTCCTTTCGAGGAATGGATGCCATTCGTGAAGCAATGCATGGAGTGTTCCTTTACCATGCAATTAAGGTATGATACGTGTTTGGCCTTTGTACGTTTGTGCTTGGCCAATGGAGTGCCATATCTGACAGTCCTGTTTAGGGGATCCTGTATAGTGGTTGTCTTTGTGTTTTGTTTTTTCCAGTATGGCATGGACATGGGAATTGTGAATGCTGGGAATCTGCCAGTATATGATGATATCCACAAGGAGTTGCTACAGCTATGTGAGAATTTAATCTGGAACAAAGATCCTGATGCGACAGAGAAACTTTTACATTATGCTCAGGTAACTTCAAATTTTAAGACTTGGAGAGTTGTTAGCTTAGCACCTGGGCTTTAACACCTCCCTGTTGATGATAGGGAGGAATAGCCTATGAAATGCACGTGTGTCAATCTAAAGGTGGCTGTTGGAAGTTACTAATAATACTACAAGCAGTTAGCTATTAATACAGAATAAAATGTGATCTCTAATGGATTGAACCCGTCCAGTTTTGCAGCTGCCCCAGAAGATCCTGGAACAGAGTTCTGATGCTTCAGGAGAAGTTGCATAGGGGTTCTCTTAATAAAAGTAAAAGAAACAAAATGAGAATAGGCCAACCCAAACAACCAAATCAAATCTTGGAGATGAAGCATAATAGGCAATTGTGCTGTGGGAGGCAAAAAGTAGATCCCTCTCTCTCGTGGTGATAGCTTGCTTGGAGTATATGTAAACGGTGAAGTTCCTGGCTTCCAGGTTACATATTTCAAGTCAGAGTGGGGATCTGCTGTCAAATGTTTTTGAAATCTTGTTGCGGTGGTGGTGGCAAAAGACACAGGTTACACACCTGAAGGTTTCCAGGTTATCAACCATAAGATGACTGGCTAAATCCTGTTCTGAACTGAACCTGCAGCAAAAATCTCTTTAGTGTGAGATGGATTCTTAGGTTTAAGTGTGCAAGTATCCACTTGTTTTGTATTTTGTAGTAGTATTATTTCTGTATTTCTGCTATGGTGGTGCCTGATATTTAGGAACAAGGGCAGCATGTTGAAAAACAGTGCTAGAAGACTCTCCCTATCCCTTGTGCTTAGGCTATTTTGTATGGTGCTCATAATTCACCTGTGAGAGATCTTGTCTGTAGAAGAGTTTTACCATTACGGTAGACAGAGTTACATGAAGAAGAACTACAAGAGAAAGGGAATACTTAAGCAATGTTTTCACAGAAAGCAGAATGTGAATCTAAGTGGAGCATGAAATTTGAGATGTGAATCGACTCGTAGGTCTAGAAGTTCGGGTAGCCATTGTTAATGTTCCAAATATTGGAATCTTTTCAAAAGAGACTCTTGATTCAGAACACTTTCAAAAGCTCTATTAAAAGTTAAAATCCTAGCAAAACCTGCAACTTTCAGGGTTTCACTGAAAGTAAGCATCCTGACTGGGTTTCATCTCAGCTCTGGAGAAATTTGAGTGGCCAAATAGGTGGTCACTTACAGCTAATGAGGCATAGTATTCCATAAGGAGGCCTATTTCAAAATATTTATTCAGATTTTTCTCTGATTTAGTGAAACGGAATGGCTCTAAGTTCTTTTGCCTAAAGGCTTTCTTTTATTACAAAAGTGCACTAATTATTCAGTAAATTCATAAGTTGTTTTTATTTTATTCTGCACAATGAGCATACAATGTGCAGTCCCATTTCAAGTATTGCACCTCTATTAAAGTGCCCTCCTTGTTCCTTCAGGTGATAATAATGTACCTTGCCAGTTGCTTGAATGCTAGGTATTTTGGGAGAGTGAAGAACTTAATCTTTGTGGATTTAGGAGACAAATTTTTGTCTGAAGTTTGCAGATACACACTCTATAGAATATGTCTTTTAATCTTGAACATCATCCCATTTATGGCAGTGGTAGTTGTACTTCTAAAGCCTTTTTTTTTTTTTGTCTTTTTTTTTATCCTCAGCATGCAATATAATCATCTTGTTTTTAATGGTCTGCATATAGTGTTTGCCACTGTGGTCTGGTCCCTGCACTGACTGCCTTATAGTTCCATGGGTTCTTTTCAGTTTGGAATGGTTCCCTTCCTGAAGACTGTGGCCAGAGGTTCAGGAGTACTTCATACCTTTTCACAGAAGGGCTGAAGTGGGAAGGGGCTTCTGGAGATCCTTTAGTTCAATGCCCCTGCTCAGAGCAGAGTCAGAAAGAGCAGGTTGCTCAGGGATGTGTTCAGTTGGCTTTTTATTGCACCTGAAGAGATAAACTCTACCATCTCTGTGGTCAACACATTCCTTCTTTCATTGTCTTTTTACAAGCGAGACCTACAAGTGGAGTTAGGCATGGTAATGAGAAGCTGTGAAGTTAGCTAACATTCGTATAATTGAAGACTTGTTCAGATTTCTGTTCTAATGAGTAAGATCTAGTTTCCATGACTTTTTTCCTCATAGCTTTATCTTTAAAAGGTACAGTTGAGTACTCAAAGGTATAGGAGGTTCATTGGGAATGAAAGGCATTAGATTACGTGGTATAACTGAGGGACAAAAATAAATGACTTGTCTGAAGTGTGGTGGTTCAAGTAATGGATAGTGTACTTTTCCATGAGCCTTCCTGGGGTGGGTGCTTGTGAGCTTTCTTGCATTGTGAAGGTCTTTTGGACTTTGCATTCATAGCAAAGGAGAAGGGAGATGGGGGAGTATGCAGCAAAGAGAGTATGTGAGAGGGTTTGAGCCTGTCTGTGTGCAAGACAAACAGTAGTTCCATAGGCCTTCTGACTGAAAACATCTGTGATAAGGAATAATATAACCTACTCCAGCAGTAACTGAATTAGCGCCAAATTAATTAGAATTTTAAAATCGAGTGTAGTGTGTGGGCCAGAAATCAATTTAAATTATGTTCCCAGAAGTAAAACCCTGAGGATTAGTCATTTCATCATTTTTAAGTGTGAAAATTATTAGAACTGCTCCCTCTTTTTTCTTGTTTATGTCTTAACTGAAATAAGTACTCTCTGTGATATAGACCTATGAAGTGTCTGCAGTACATCGCATGTGTTTGCAAAGTGATTTGCATGTATATATATAAAAAAAAACACACTCAAAAACCTTTAGAATAATCTCAAATTATTTTGTGAATCACTACTTAATTATCTTAATTTTTCTGAAACTAAAGCCCATAGTTGTAATTGTGTTGGCAAGCTCCTATGGTTATCTTCTTCTTTTCAGAATCATGCCCAAGGAGGAAAGAAAGTGATACATACTGATGAATGGCGCAAAAGCTCCGTGGAGGAAAGGCTGGAATATGCTCTCATAAAGGTGAATCTGTGCAGAAAATTGTCCTGCCCAAACAGATGTATAATTCCAGCTCTTAAACTATAATAGACACCCTTGGCTTAAAAATTCCTCTGCTGCTATTCTTTTTTAAAAATACATTAATAATGAACACTTTACTAATTAAATACATTAATTAAATATATTAACAGAGAGTTGTGGTGATTTTCCTTTAAGCTTCCTAAGCTGAATGAAGTCTTTGACCCTTAGTATTTTTTTCTCGTAGTGTTGGTGGAACATGTTCTTCATGTTGTTTTTACTTTCCAGTGTATTGTATGGTGTTTTTTTTTTTCTTGTGTTGTATTTTGTTTTTTAATGGTATTGCACTGGGTAACATTAGTGCTGAGGGAGCTGTCCTTGTGTAAATGCGTAATTCTGTTATGACATAGTTGAAAAACAAACAGACCCACTTATACTGGGGACTATTGATTTAAATAACTTTGTTCCGTAAAACTATGGTTTTTTGTTTCTCAAGAAAACCTATTTTAAATACAGATTAGAGGTATTCTTAGAGTAGTAATATCTAAAGTTATCTGTGTGTATATTGATTGTGATTTTTTTTCAGCATAAAGACAACTAAATATAAGAATACAAGTTGTATTTTTAGAAAGATGAAAGCTTTTACTTTCCCCCCCCCCAGGGCATTGAGAAGTATGTCACTGCAGATACAGAAGAAGCGAGATTAAATCAGGAAAAATATCCTAGGCCTCTAAATATAATTGAAGGACCTTTGATGAATGGCATGAAAATTGTTGGTGATCTTTTTGGTGCTGGGAAGATGTTTCTGCCTCAGGTAAAGACAACATGACGTGATGTACTTTCTGATTTGGCAAAAACTAACATTGCAAAATGTAGCCAAAGCATTCTATGTTGTCTGTCGTTTTCAGATACAGCTCTCGAATTGTGAAGATTCTGACAGTGCTAGGAAGTGGCCTCATTTCTTCTGTACTTTGGAACTTGAATTTCTTTATATAGTTTTATATATTTCTTTCCTTTCTCTCTGTGTTTTTGCTTTATTTGAAATGTAGTTTTAAATCTAGATGCATGAAAATAGCAAATGAAGAAAAAAAAAATCTAAACTCACTTGATTACCATCAGGCTGCTCTGGGTAGCACCTTCTAAGTCTGGGCCTGTTAGTAGCTTTTCATTCAGTTGTGAGTGATCCAAAGGACTGCATTGTGAAAGCAAGTGTCGTATGTAGGCCACTAGCCCAGTAGGGCCAGCAGTCTGTTGCTAAAGAATGCCCCGTAAAGCTGGGATCTGGGTTTACAAATTAAGTTTTGTTGATTGTTTGAATGGGTTTAAAAGAAAGCTATGAGGAACTTTAGATTATTCCTATATCTGATCTTTATTGCTGTTTCTTTCCTCCTCCGTTTATCTGTGCAGGTGATAAAATCTGCTCGAGTTATGAAGAAAGCAGTTGGCCACCTTATTCCCTATATGGAAAAAGAAAGAGAGGAAAAGAGAGCTGAACAGGGCAGCACAGAACAAGAGGCAAGACAGTCCTTTATGCAGTAACTCTTTTGTAACATGCTGTGACAAAAATTGAAATTATTTTTTGCTAATGGTATTTATTCAGCTTTTATGCTGAAAAGTTGATCCAGTCATATGGAAACTGCCAATTTGGGCTTAATATTGTAGTTGGTCTGAAATGTACGAAGTACGCGTTTTGTGAAACTTTGCTTGGTGTGTGCCTAACCTGTTGTCAGAAGTTTCATGATGCTAAAAGCTTTTGTAGGCCCTTGATTCTGGTGTTACTTAACTTTTTGTGCTTTTGTAGACATTTAATTGTAGTATTATTTATTTATAACATTTTTAACATGGATTGTAGCAAATTATGCCAACTGATGCCATTTGCCCTTGGTAAACTCTAGAACTCACTTTTGAATGTTCAAAGCCTTTTAGTGTGTTTCTCTTTTTCCAGCTCTTCCCCCTGAACATTCTCCCAGCTAAACAAACCAAATTCTTTTTTTTAATAGATATGTTGCAAGACCTTTTGTTATAATAGAATAGTATTCTCATTTTATGTGTAGCTGTGACCAAGTGGTGGGTGACAAATGTTTTACGAAAAACAGGATATGAATATAGTGGTCTTTTCATACATAATTTTTCCCCCAGTTTCTGAATACCGCTTGTACTACAGTACAGGAGATACACAAGACATAACATAGAAACAGAAATATACAAATGACACAAATAAAAGACTGTTCATAACTGAGTAGGTAGTAGCTTCCCAGAGAGGGTTGTGGTTGTTATGAATAGCATATAAATCTTCAGTGTCTTATGACTGGGAAACAAAACAAACAAAAAAAGCCCATAAAACCTAGAACTTATAAATGTGTGTAATACACAGTGATTTCTCCGCTCCATCCAGCACTCAGCCCATTGATAGGACAAGGGTCAGCAGCATTCCATTTTGAAAGTTGTACTCAAGGAAAATGCATGAACTAATGAAAGGGTCTCGGAAAAGAGCATTAAGAATGATCAGAAGTGTAGACAATGTAATCTGCAATGAAAGTGTGGGAGTTTGGTTGCATTTGTTTGCCTTCAGACTTACATACCATATAGTTTTCATATTCTAGACATACCTGCAGAAAATAAAGTGGTAAAGTTTTCTGCATTCTATCAGGAGTAAATGGGGCTTAAATTTCAGTGAAAAGATACTTAAGTTAGATTGTGGTAGGAAGAAAATGTGATGGTATTGAAGCATAACAGTATATTGCCTCTGAAATTTAAGAGCTTTTTCCAGTGACTTACTACATGGAGAAGCTTCAGGAGGGCATCCAGCCAGCCCTGGTTCTAGCTGAGGCCTTATTAGTGTCCAAGTATCTGACATTCTGCAGCACTGGGCCTTTTGGTTTCCGTATTGACTTGTAAGATCATTTTTGTCCTGTAATAAGTCTTGTATTTACATTGTTTTATCAACTATTCCCCATTTTACATTTTCTTTCTTTTTTTCTTTCCTATATGCTGTGCTTGGCAGCCCTATTACTGAATTCCTACTGCTTTCAAATGCTTATTCAATTTGTCAAGTTGATCTTGAATCCTACTATCCTTCTATTCTTCCACATAGTCTCTCCCCTCCCTTAATACCATCCATATATTATCCAATGCATAACATTGCAGGTAATTTTAGGTTGCTGTTGAAAATACCAAACGATTTTCAGATTCAGATTTCTTTATGGTGTTTACTTTTTGACAACCGACTGGTGGCAATTCCTCTGTGAGAAAAGTTTCATCAGCTACCTGTACATATACTTGAAGTAATTTCTTCCAAATTTGATTAATGGAGTATGTGATAGGAGCATTGGAACACAAAGATACAGGACATCCCTTGTTTTTCTGTACTAACAAGATTGTATGTGGTAGAAATGAGTTCAGAAGAAATGAACAAAATCCATTCTTCAAATACTAATCTCTGCTTTACTGTATTTATGTGATAGGTTCAGTTTTGATTGTTAAATATTTTTCTTCCACTCTCGACTTTGTCAGACTATGAAATTTATGTTTAGTGTGCAGTAACTCCTCTCTAGTCCTGCGGAACATCACATTGTGTTCATGAGTTCTCAGAGGCAATACCTTTTATCATAATCTGGTATTTAGCACAAAAAAAAAAAAAAGTCAGAGTCTAGAGAATAGGGGATATTTATGTGTTTTCTTTGTCTTTCTTTCTGTGGATTTTTGAATGGTTCCTAATTCCTCTGTTAAAATCATTTTACAGTATATCTTCCCATTTGCTGTGGATCTGCTGAATGCTTGTCAAACATGAATGTAATGAATCCAACTAGCATTTTATAAAGAAAAATGACCTGATAATCAATCCTGACTATTTTCAATGGAAGGAGAATGCCTAGTCTCTTTTCTGGTTGTAAAGATGGTGTCTTCTCTCTAATACATCAAGCAGATCTGTTCTCTGCTGTCATGAGTCACTTTTCTATGCGTCATCTCTCTCCTGCTCGTGCTGTTCTTTATTTTAATGCAGATGACAGTGCTGGTACTTGGCACCTTCTGGCTTGTTCTGGGGATATTTGAAGTCAGTGAAAATCATTACCCTATTGCCTCCATGGGCAGGGGATTAGGACCTACTGTGGTACTTAGTTCTCTGGCTAAAAAATGGGAAGTGGAATCTGAGAGGTCCTCAAAAATATAGCAAGAGATGATGGTGAGGTATTGTGTGAGCCTGAAGAGGGCAGGAGGGAAAAAAGTAGGGCCTCTGTCCTCTGCTTTCTCCACCTTGTGTTGAGGAGGGGTTTGGTCTTCCTCTGTGAATGTTTTTGTCACTGCAGAGAAAACTGGAGAGAGAGAAGAATCAGCTGTATTTATCCCCAAATTTAGATGTGGAGTCAGAGGAAAATGATTTGCAGACTCTGGTAGCTGATCTGTCTGATATTACCCAGACTACTGTAACCTCCAAGACAGTTTTAGTCCAAGACTGCCAGGAAATGCGAAGTGTTGATAGTTACATTTGAGGATAAATAGCTGTGGCTGTGGATCTCTATCAAGATCAAAAAAAGAAGCCCTTTGGATGTGTGCCCAGAACTTGAGGACCTCCTTGCTTGAGACAATTGAAATCACAGTGTGCCCTAAATAGGGTTTATTTAAAATACTGTGTGCTCTGGCCCATGTTGTTTGCTGCTCAGCACACATTTTCCCTCTTCTGTATAAATCCTCCCCCCCCCCCTTTTTTTTTTTGCTTATGTATAAATTGATAGTTAAATTATCAGTTGTTATTGGGGGCAGATCTTTTTTTCATCCCTTAGCCCTTCATTGATGTTTCTAGTTTTCTCTTACATTCTAGAAATTTATTTTGAGATGCAACATTTTTCATTGCACAGGGATGGCTGACTTGCATCCCTTTCGCTTTCTCGGTTTCCTGGTCTTTTGTAAAACAGGAACACTGGGCAGAGGATAGTAAATAATGTTTAGTAAACAGCAGCATTGGTGAGAATTTCCAGGGTCCTAACAAATGTATTAGGACCATGGGAAATGCTGATATCAGTCTTGGTAATATGTAAAGGTATTTCTTCCCCCAGAAAATGGCAATTACAGAAGGCAATGTAGAGTCATGAAGTAGAGAGCTACCTGATAGTGTCAATGAATATGACATGCTTTGTAGAAGAGTCTTCTTCCCCAGTTCTGCCATCTGCCAAGGAGATGAGATACTGACTGGAAAAGTGGTTGTTTGAAAACAGAAAGTGCTCAGGTTTCCACTTGAATTAAATTCTGTGCAATTCAAGTAGTCTGTTACTTGGGTCTCATCAAGCACCAACTCAAATGTGGTATTGTGATAAAATGGAGGTGCTCCAAATGGCAACACTAACGACACCACTAAAAACCTATCATGAAGGGTCTTGTCCTGCTGGAGAATTGCTGTAGAGAAGATCGGCCTTTGTGCTGCTGGCAGGGCCTCTTTGTCAGGGCTGAATGCTGTCTGACCTAGGATCAGTCTGTGGTGGTGCACCTTCCCTTCTTCAAGATTGTTTTTCCAGCTTGTTTGTTCAGCTTGGGCAGTCCAAAATAGCCTGATGAGCACATTGAAATGTGTTCCTTGCTATTTTTGTTGCATAAAAAATTAATCTCTTTTGCTTTTCCTAATTCCTGTCATTCCTCTCAGTGTTGCATTGGAAGATTACATTTGATGCATGACCAGGCATGTGATCGTGAACCTTCGTTACCCTATTGTTCTAAATATTTAAACTGTTTATTGGTGAGGAATAGAGGAGTTCAGTTATGGCACTACACGGAGTGCTATTCAGATGTGTTTTTTTCATGATTTTGTTGTTTTTTTTTTAAATGTATTTGAATAGCGTGCGCTTGAATTGCATGAGTATTTCTTGTGCGAATTTTTATTACCTGCATCTTTTAAGATAGCTTTTAATATTGGATATATTACCTCTGCTGATCCCTAGGGAATGCTGAGGCTTCTGAGTAATTTAACTTGTGTGCTATTTGCTCAACTTTCAGGATCCTTACAATGGTACAATAGTACTAGCAACTGTGAAAGGCGATGTACATGATATCGGCAAGAACATTGTGGGAGTTGTTCTGGGCTGCAACAACTTCAGGTAAAGAGACTAAAACTAGGTAGCTGGGAACATAACCGTATTAAGGCTAACTTACTCATATACTAGGCTGGCTGCAGCTGTGGTGATAATAGAGGTGGGCATTTACTGGGAACTGGCCTGTTACCCTAGTTGTAGTAGGAAATGCGGATCATACCACCTATTACTAATGTGGAGGCAAGAGGGAATATAACGTCTTTCTGTAATGCCCTAATAAACTGGCATCTGAGATGAAAACAATTGAACTGAAATATAGGTCAGAGCATCAGTTTTTGCACGTAATATTAGTTAAATATAAGTTTAATGTCTTAAACATAGAAGATTAATACCTGGAAAAAACCACACAGGATAACTGTATTAAGCAAGACTGCCTGTGTGCTTTGCGGTGTGTTGGGAAAAAGCAAGTCTTGTAACGTTCTGATGAACCTCTTAGTATGTTTTTCAAGCTGTTTGTTAACGACACGGTTTTAAACTCACGGTGGTATGTTTTCGTAATTAAGAGATGAGATTCTAATCCTAATTCTGTGTTTCAAAAGTTGGGACTTCAAGACAAGTCAGTGCTTTCAAGTCCTAATATACGTAATGCAGGGTTGACAGCAGTGTTGGAATGAATGGTCGTTTCCATGAGTCCTTTGTCAAGTGTCTGTCAAATGTTGTGCAGAACTGAATGCTTTGGAACTGTCTTATCACTCATTCATTTTGTTTTGTTTTTGACTTGTCTGTAACTTGTTCTTTAAAAAAGAGGCAAATTGTCTCTGTTTTAAAACACAAATGGCTGAAGCCAGTACCAGTGTTGTGTATATGTAGTACATTCATCTGCTTTCTTGAGCTTTTATTTTTTTTAAACATAGTGAACTGAAGCCATGGTGCTTTCTGTCGCCATGGTCATGAGTGAGACTGAATGAAGCCAGAAGGCTGGCATGGCTCACTTGGAAAAAAACAAAAACAAACCCAATCAACCTTGACAATGGCTAGGGCTAATAGGAATAGAGCACTAGCAAGGGAAGTGCAGTGTCTCATTTCATAAAATACAGGCTTTAGTAAGACAAAAGAAACTTGATGTGAATCAGTTTATGTTCCTGACATAAGGTATGATATCCACAAAACCTTTTAGTATTGCCTGAATGACTTCAAATGAAAAAAAATTACTCAAAACCAAAACCACCCTCTTGCACTTGAATTTTCTTATCAACTGTGTCATCTGGAACTCTGTATTGAAATTTTTTCCAGACCCACAGGTGTTTCTTATATTGCAATTCCCAATCGAGGTCTTGAGAGAAACACAATCTCAATTTTAACTTCAATATTAGGTTAGCCATTTATTGTAAGAGCAATATGTTTGCCCTTTAACAGAACTATTTGACTACTTTTTTAAAGAATCTTGTGTCATCTCACTTCTTTTCACAGAGTTATTGATTTAGGAGTCATGACTCCATGTGATAAGATATTGAGAGCTGCTGTTGAGAACAAAGCAGGTATAGAGAGATTTCATTAGTACTCCTGGCTTATTTAATTTTAAACCCCACTTGCTTTTTTTTTTTTTTTTTTTTTTTTGGCTACTCATTGCATTTCTATGCTGTCAGTGGTTTGGTCAGACTACCTTAAAGTAAATGAAAATTTTTGTGTTAACAGTAGCAAGTATTTAGTATTTAGCACTTCTGTGAAACTTAGCCCAATGAACTGAAAATCTGCATTAAAAGGACAACTCCAGGAGAGATATTTTAGCACTTGTTTTACAGATGGATAAATGGAAACTTGGAAAGGTTAACTAACTTTGTGTTGGATCTTAAATCAGTAGAAGAACTTGGCATTCAGCCTGCTAAAGCAAGGAGTGTGAAAAACAAAATGTATTGTTCTAATAAAAAATGAACTTTCTTTCTGAACCAAGCTATAGTTTCTGTGAAACAGTCTATTGCATTTTGGAAAATATTTGTATGGATCAGAGGTGGTGAAGTTTGAAAGCATTTGCTGTTTTGAAGAGCAAATGTTATAATTTCTGTGCTGATCTTCTGAGGTTTAGAGTTTGCTAATCAGAAGCATTGTATATTTATTGTGAAACTAGAGCAGTAGGTGTCCAGCAGCTGTGAAGACTGTTTGAGAAATGTCTTAAACTGAGGATTCAGAATCAACTTTCATTCTTAGAAAGCTTTTACTTTCTAATTAAGTAAAACTTGGCTTCTAGGTTAGAGATTACCATGCTTTCTATTTCACTTTTTTTTTTATCTGATGCGTGAAGATAGAAATTAAATGCTTCCTGTAATAATTTGTATGTAATGCTAGAATGGATTTACTAAACATTTTGTGTATATGTTTGTAAATTTGCAATAGATATAATTGGCCTGTCTGGTCTCATCACCCCTTCTTTGGATGAAATGATTTTTGTCGCCAAGGAAATGGAGAGATTGGCAATAAAGATTCCTTTGCTGATTGGAGGAGCAACTACTTCTAAGTAAGATATATCCATTGGGAAGATGGGGAATGTGTATGAAAATAGTGCTAACTAGGCAGAGAAACCTATGACCATTTCTTCCTTCCTTTTCCCTCCTTTTCCCTCAACACGTATACTGGTATGTGTTTACTTGAGAGTGAATGTTTGGGACTTTATTCTAAGTGAAGGGCGTAGGGAAGCCCTTTCTTCATATCATTTTCGTGTCTGTAGGGCATTGCAGATTAAGAATTATTGTCAAATTAACATTGTTAAACAATTTTGTAAAATTTATTTGTAGAGATAAATGTAGCTGGCAGCAGAAATTTTGTTTTGGATATGGGAATAATTTTACTATATATATACATACCTTGTATTCAGAAATAATTTTATTCATTCGAACTCTGCATGAATATATACTTGTACATATGCCCAGATGCACAGAACTTCTACAAAATACGTCAAGTAAAAGGATTCTTTATGGAAGATTGGACTGGTAATATATATTTAATTTTACTTGCACAGTTTTAAGTTTAACTTTGTGTGCATTCTGAAGGTTGTGTATGTTAGAGCTTGGTAAGGAAGAAACATCTGTATTTATTCTCTGAAATGGGAAGACATTTGTAATGAGTAGACCATACATACTTGGAAAGGTGGAAAATTAGATGATTTTGAAAGAGAGGCTGGATTCTGAATACAGAATCTACACAGTGAAGTTTCATCTTATCTTACTATAATGATGTTTCTGTTATTACTATATCGTTAAATTCAAATGCTGACAAATAATGGTAATGGTATTATTATGGTAATAGATTAAAAGAAAAAAAAAGGATACAGTACCACTGTAGGACTATGCCGTTTCTTTTGTCTGCTCCTATCAAAGTTAAAGATACAGTATCTTTTTTTTTTTACTAAAGATCAGAAATGCACCAACAAATTAAGGTAATCCAGGACAGTTGGTTACATAGCTGTTGCATAGTCATCAGTAACTTTGATGTTCAAGTGTTTTAAACATCTGACACCACCTGAAGGAAAAAAAGGCACTTAGGCCTCAGTTCAGGACTGCTAACTTTAATTTGAACAGATAAATACTATTATACAAAAATGATCCTGAGTATTTCAATGAGTAGGATTGGAATATGAGTATATGTTAAATTAATTGGGAGTTTTTTATGCAAATGAATTGGCTGACCTAGAAGTTGCAAATTTATTCTATTTATTGACACCTGGCAGAATTCCTTCTTCAGGTGAGTACACAGAGCCTCTGGTTCTGAAGTACAGTATCATGGAAATTTAAGCAATCATCACTGCATTACATTAACGTTAATTCACAGATCGAAAAGGTAGGGTGTGGGAGGGGAAAAGACAAGCAAAAAAGATATATATATATATATATATATAATATATATAATATATATATAATTACAGTTTTTGTTAGCTTAGTTTGGAATATTCTCTTTGAAATTTTTGATATTCAGACTAACTAGTTAATGACTTGTCAGCTGGTAAGGCAATGTAAGTTGGCACATTACTTATGAAGCATTCTGATACTCTGAAGTAAAGAGTTTGTATACCTATTATTAAAAATCTGTGCTTAATCATCCCTGCATAGCAGATGGATGCTTTCTTGTTTTGAAGATCTGGATTATGCATTATGTCAGGATTTTTTTCACCGTGCGTTTTGTATTTTTTTGTTTGTTTTTGATTCAGTTGTGAAATGCTCAATCTCTTTCTTTTTCATTTAAGAACACACACAGCTGTTAAAATTGCCCCCCGATATAGTGCACCTGTAATTCATGTCCTGGATGCATCCAAGAGTGTTGTGGTTGTAAGTTCTAATTTCCTACTTTTCTGTTGCGCCTCTCATCCTTTCCTCTTAAGATTCGATATTATGGCAGAAAACTGGAGAGGCACTGCAAAGACCAATTTCTAAACTACTGTCACTTCAGCAAATTTTTTGCTGCTGCTGGGTTATCTCATCAAACTTAATTCACTTATTGTCATTGGATACCTTTATTTACATGCCAATTTCTCTAGTGATGGTGGAATGATTCACTCTGAGTCCTTGACTGTAGTTCTGAGATGTTTTAAAATGAGGAGTGGTGTAGTTAGATGTGATCTGCTGTTCTCTCTGTTTTGGGTATATTGCTGCAGTTAGTGATACGGCAACAGGAAAACAGTACTATGAAATGGCTGACTGGTGTTTTTTGGAATAGATGCTTTCTATTAGACAAATGAGTAGTCTTAGTGGGGAAAACACATGCTGGAAAGAAGTAGGGCAAGCTGTGTTATTTCTCTGACTTCAGCCTCTAGGATCTTGGAGTATCCTCATGCTGGGCTCTGCTAGTGCTAACTGTGTAGGAGGGCATTATTCTTGCTAATAATCATACTCTTAAATATATTTTGAATCTAGTTTGCAGTTCAGTGGTAAGACAATTTAGTATTGTCAAGTGTAATTGTGTAAGGTTAATGGAAACTAGATTATTAAAGACAGATAGCTTAGTCTGAAATTCTCACTGTGTCATTACTATAATATCTTACAGTATGTACTTAGTGCATTCTCATTTCTTTTTTTCAGTGCTCTCAGCTCTTAGATGAAAGTGTAAAAGATGATTTCTTTGAAGAAATATTAGAGGAATATGAAGAAATTAGACAAGAACACTATGAGTCTCTCAAGGTACAAATATAATTAATTTAGCTTCTTGTTTGGAGTGGCTAGTACTTGTATTATTACTAACTCTGAGTTTCAACTCTTTATGAAGACCTTGAGGTATACTTGTGTTGATTATGAAATAAAATTTTCTGGCCTGTAAGGGAAAATTCTTCATGGCTCTAACATACAGTTGGCAAATTCTGGATTGTCCTCAATGGACAGTCAGTGGTATCTAGGACATCTCCTTGGGGCTGGCAGTCACATCAGTTTAACCAGTCTAAAGGAGAATGGTGCGCTCCTAGGGTAGTAGCTTAAAACAGGAAAATACACTAAGGTAACTGAAGTAGCACTGGTTGCTTTTGGTGATGCCATGCTGTATTCTGAGTATTTCTCACTACCAAATTTTCCTATTGTGTTTGTGTTGTTTTGGTTAGGGATCTGAGCAATGTCAAAGTAGAGAGCTGGGGCTGCAATTTTAGGAGAGTGAAGAGAAGGAAGGAATGAAATGCAGAAATGGATGGCACAAATTAACAGTATTAAGCTGTTAGTAGAAGCATGTCTGATGCTTCTGAGGTTGTCTTGTAAAGAAACAGAAACACTTGGTCCATGCAAGTTTAAGACCATTTTTGCATAGGGAACCAGTAAACCAAGATGAGATCAGTGAGGTTTGCAGTGAGTTCAGCTGGGAGTTGGTGGAACTGAAAATACATTTTTGTAAGAATTGACCTGAAGACATCTTTGAATAAAACTGTATAATCACTATGATAGTTACAGTTTGTCCGAAAGGTAAGTGGTTTTATAAAAGTAACCTTAATGTTCATACAGGAAAGAAGATACTTGTCTCTACAGCAAGCTAGGAGAAAAGGTTTCCATAATGACTGGTTATCAGGACATAAACCAGGTCAGTTTAGTTGTTGATTTTACTGTGTCTTTAATTTTTATTTATTTTATATATACGTTGAATAATACATAAATTGATAAAGCTTCATTAAACTTCAGACTTCAGTAGCACTGTGTTAGAAATAGTGTAACAATTCGAATAAACTTGTGTCTGTTTGAGCAGATTTTTTTTTGTTCAGTCTTGCTGTCCTGTCTCAACTTTATATTTTTCATAGTATTCAAAAAAAAAAACCAACAAAAAGACTTAATAACAAGTTGGAAAAAAAAAAAAAGCTAAAACAGAATTTTCCATAATACCATACAATGAAATATGAATCTAATGCACCCTTTCCAAAATAATGTTGGACTGGCTCATATGCAAACATTATGTACCACACTCAGGCAATGCCAGTTGTGACACAGCACTTGTATTCAATTCCCCCTTACATTTTAAAGGAAAAAGAGGTACAAATCATTTTCTGTCCATCCCGCTACCAGTTTCTCTACCGGTTTTATTTTTAATACTAAACACTAGAATTACAAATGGCATTGCCCAAGAAGTTGCATCCTGTAGTGGCATTAACAGTTGACTGCTTTCTGTCACTTCGTTTACAAGGGGTGTGTTAATCCCTTAGTAGGCAGCTAAGACCTAGTCAGCTGCTTGCTCACTTGTACCAAGTGGGATGGGGAAGAGAATCTGAAGGATAAAAGTGAGAAAACTTGTGGGTTGAGATGAAGGCAATTTAACAGGTAAAGCAAAAATGGTGTGCAAGCAAAGCAAATAAAGAATTCATTTGCTGCTTCCCATCAGAAGGCAGATGTTCAACCACTGCCACGAAAGTAGAGTTTTATCACATAGAACAGTTGCTTGCAACTGCAAACACCATAATTCAGGATGTCTCCCCTTCCTCATTACCCCGACTTTTATTACTGAGCTTGATGTCATACACTGTGGAAAATTTGTTTAGTCATATAGGGTCAGCTGTCCTGGCTGTGTCCTTCTCAACTTCTTGGGCACCCCAGCCAACTTTCTGGCAGGGCAGCAGTGAGAAACAGAGAAGGCCTTGGTGCCCTGTAAGTGCTGTACAGCAATAGCTAAAACATGGATGTGTTGCCAACACTGTTTTGGTCACAAACCTACAATATAGCACCATATTGGTCATTACAAGGAAAATCAGCTTTATCCCAGTGAAAACCAGTACAAAGACTCAAGAAGATGCTAATTTTCAGTAGCTCGTTTTGATAAAGGCCACGTTATGAAGTAGTGAACAGCGTAGACAAGTACAAAGCTTGTGGATACATCATAAAAGATCCATCTCTCTCTTTCACTTGTGTCTATGCATCTGAACAAGTGTGTGGTGGTTGCAAAAGCTCTTTCAAATTGCATAGTAATCAACAGAGCTATTTACAACACCATAGGACATAATATGTTTGCGTATAAAAAGTGGGATTTAAAATTATGAATGGCATGTGCCCATAAAATCTGGTAGGTGAGGATAGGTTGGTTATGGTCTTAGATTGAGTATTTTGTCTGATGAAATATGCTAAGAAGTCCAGTAGTGAGTAAGGATTAATTTATAGGAAAGAACAGAAGGCCTTGCATTTTTTGTTTTGTCTTTTTATGCTTTTTAAAAAATCCACGTAATAACTGTAAAGTATGGTATGACTTGGGAAGGATAGGGCACTAAAAATTACTTGGGAAGAGCTCAGTTGTAGTGATGGAAGCTACTCAGCATCAATTATGCTACACATATAAGAGCAATATTAAATAATTCCTTCATGAAAGATTGTACTTTTGATTCCTACAGTTAAACCAAAATTCATTGGTACAAAAGTCTTTGAAGATTATGACCTGAAGAGGCTAGTAGAATACATTGACTGGAAGCCTTTCTTTGATGTCTGGCAACTTAGGGGAAAGTATCCCAACCGGGGTTTCCCTAAAGTCTTTAATGATAAAACTGTAGGTAAGTATTGAATTTGCATTTACTTCATGCAGATAATCTTAACAGACCTGTCATGCTGCATTAAGATTCTGAATGGTTTGATATACGCAGGAGTGGTAAAAATACATGTAAACTTAAATGTCACTGAAATCATTTGTGTAAAACAACACTTACTGGCATATTGGCACGTGAGGCAGAAAGAGTGCTTAATCATATTTAGAATTCACCTACAAAATACAGGGCAGTATTTTAATGACAGAAAATGGTGACAGAGCAATTAACACATGTTCCTGTTAAGGGTGAAGATGTCAAGAAGGCTCTGTCTCTTTTTGATACTGAACTTTAGTAGGTGTTGAAATACGTGATGAAACTGCAGGTGTGACACAGAAATAAATGTTCTGGATTGGCTGCACTGTGGTAATGAGGTGCACACACATTTTCCCTGTTGCTCACTTCATTCTGCATCCTCTGCCTCTACTGGAATGGTGCTGGCTCAAACAATTGTTTTAAGATGTATATTTTTACAGTGGTATACACATAATTGTACTGCTATTGTTTATGCTGTAGCTGACACATTGTTGCGGTCATCAAAAAATTACCTGGAAAAGGAACCAATCTTCAGCAGTTTTTAAACCTGTTTAAACTGGTTGTGAAAGCACGTCTTTTCTAAAGGGTTCTCTTTTTTTTTGATAGGTGAAGAAGCAAAGAGAGTTTATAACGATGCTCAAAATCTGCTGAAAATGTTGATCAATCAAAAGAAATTACAAGCCAGGGGTGTGGTTGGATTTTGGCCAGCTCAAAGTGTTCAAGATGATATCTATTTATATGCTGTAGAAGAGGCAGTGGGATCTTCGGAACCGATAGCAAAATTTCATGGCCTGAGACAACAGGTACAATGACAGAACACTTGTTAAATAATGACTTTTTTTTTTCTGAATTGCAAGAATAGAGCACAAGCGTCCTAATAAAATCTGTGCAGAAAATAGTTGTTGTAATCTGTCTGCAGTCATCCTGACATTTCTTTCACTAGTAACATGGTTTTATTAGTGATGACCCAGGTTCTTGTAGTATTTGTAGTATTTTGTATTGCAGCGGTACAAAATGTTTTATGTATTTGACAGCTTTAGATAATGGTGTGTTTTCTGTTCTCGTTTTAATACTTAAGCCATCTGAAAGCACTGTGCTGTATGTTTTCGTCACAAATTTTGTGCACTAAGTTAGAATCTAATGAGCCTTAGTTCTTTAATAATATCCCTGGATTCTGCTTTAAATGAGGCATTCTGCTTGGATGTGTTGAAGGTTAAAAATACCTTTAGTTATAATACTAGCAAAATAATGCTCAGTGAAGATAAATGTTTCTGGCAACTTACGTAAAATTCCTCTCGATTAAGAGGCAGTTTAGAATTAGTTTACTGCTAATTCTGCTTGTAAGAATAACTATTTTAAGTGTTTATGCTTAAATCATATATACGCTTGCATTTATTTTGATAGATCGAACATTTTCAACATATTCTACTACTTCTTCCCAACATTCCAATTTGGTGTCTTTATAGTTCACGTACGCAGTCATCAAACATTGGAGAAACAAATCTAACAAATACCTAAATTTCTGGAGTACAGTCTTCTATGAGGACAGTCTTGTGCCAATATTTCAAAATTATACTAAGAAATACATGGCTTTAAGTTTATTCCAGCTTTTGGAATAGATAATCTATTGCAAGGAGGTGGATCTAGTAGACAGCCTATGGCAGATATTTATATAAACGGTTTTCACAAATGTTCAAGGAGGGCTGTTCCAGGGCCTTACTAACCAGTTAAACATTTTGATATCCCATGTAAATCAAGTTTACTACACTTTCTTTTCCTGGCCTTTTCCCAATGCTTTCCCAAGAAGACTGTATTATTTGATTTTTTTTTTCCTATTTTTTTTTTTTTACATATTGGAACACTGTTATTTTCCTCATTCTTTTTTTCCTCATATGTTCCCAATTTAGTCAGGCTTTTCTCAAAGATTAAGAGTATTATTGTGGGTACCATTCTTTTGGACTCTATTTTAGCTACATGTCTTTCAGTCTAGCATACATAGTAATTCAGCAAAGGCTTCACCAGAGCATAATAGAAGAGAATAACTGTCTTCTGTTTGTTATATAAAACCTTCTTTTCAGAACACAGAGTTCTCTCCATGATGTTGGCACCATTAAGTGTGTGATGAAAATCTAAAAGTTGTAGATATGTTTAGGGTTTTCTTTAGCTATGATCATTACAAAAGAACCTTAATGTTAATATAGAGGTCATATACATAGGCAGAAAAATATTTCTTCAGTTTTATGGTACTTTCTGTAATCTAGTAATCTATAGAAACTGTTGAACATACATCTTTGTTTTTCAGGAATTCTGTTGTTGTTTTTTTTTTGTATTTTTATTTATAATTTTTATGAAACTGCAGTTGGAAATTAGTTTAAAGCATTGTTAAACACTGAAACAGTGTCACAGAATAAGAAAACCAGGAGAGGATTTTTCAGCCAAGTGATAGCCATGAAATAACTTTCTTTGTAAGTTGGATACATTTACAAGTGGAATATATTCTACTCCCCGTGTTAACTTCCTATAAACCCCTTTGAACCTTGTTTGGGATTCAATTTACTGGTAATGATGGGTGAATTTTGTTTCAATTTGTATGTAGATAGCGTAAACCTAGACATGTTTTTTTTCTGGACTACTGAGCACATGGTTTATAGGATAAGAAACTGTGAGTGTTTATAAACTCTCATGGGCATTCCATAGTGAGAGCTGCTGAAGAATTCTGCAGTTTGCATAATTGGGATGCAAACTATCAACCAGCAGTTTTGTTAACAAATGTAGAATCTGACTGTAAGAGATGGAAAATTTGTCTTCTTCCCCAGTGGCTGGCACAAGACTGTTCCCTATTTTGTAATACATTGCAGAATAAGCTGTTAAATCTCACTAGCTGTAAATAGAACCAGAACATCTCTCTATATCTGCTCAACACAGCATCTCTCTCCTTTGACATTTGTTTTTTTTTTAGTGATCCAAACACCCTCAGAGGAACAGAGATGTTTTTTCTGTCTAATTTAAGGACAGGAAAGCTGTCATGGCTCAAAGACTAGATAGGTGTTTGTCAGAAACGTCTCAAGCCCTATAGTCTTGGTTTAGATCAAGAAAAAAAGGATGGTTTAGATCGAGTGCACTTTTTTTTTTTAATGTTCTGATTTATTGCATTATTTTCTCTTTTTATTTTAGGCTGAAAAAGACTCTGCCTGCACAGATCCGTATTACTGTCTTTCTGATTTCATAGCACCGCTGGATTCTGGCATTTGTGACTACTTAGGCCTGTTTGCTGTGGCCTGCTTTGGTGTAGATGAGTTGTGCAATGAATATAGGAAACAGGATGATGAGTACAACATCATAATGGTAAAGGCGCTTGGAGATCGGTTGGCAGAGGTACGAGGTTTTGTCGTTTTCTTGCAAATTTTCTGTATACAAAGTTTGTTTGACAACTTGCCGTGTCATGTTTTAGCATAAGCTCAGACTGTTGCCTTTAATGTATGTTCTGCATTAAATCTGGAAGTGAACTGGTTCTACGGAACCTCTCTTGAGAGGTGAGTCCTCTTCAGAGACAGTGGGGAGTCTGCTGTCCATATGTACCAAGTGCGAAAGCAGCTCTGAGCTGTGTGTGAGAGTTTTGATTTAATACAATTTAGTACATTTTAAAACAACACTATTAAAACTATTTTTAAACCTTGCTTTATCTACGTGAGAATGCAAGTTTTGACCCAGGTAAGACCAACCAGTTACATTTTTGAATTGCTTGACATAGCATCAGCGTGCCTTCTGCTTTAATGGTAAACATGCACATGGGTGCAGTGTACATGTACAAGTCTTTTGACTTAATGTGACTTAGGCTTAGGCAGACATGGTCTTAAAGCCCTAACTGAAGTGGTTTAGAAAGTTCTGTCCCTTATCCTACGCTACATCTATCTGCTTGCCTCCATGTTCACACATCAGTAACCACTATAAAATTTACAGGAACTTTAGAGCAAATGTGATTAGCTCTAGTTGTATATTTTAACCCATAAGAGTTGTGGAAATTATTATTTGATGCCATCCAAAGATATTTACTGAAGTGGAAATTTCTCCTGAAGGCTACTGTTGCTGACAAAGTAGTGTTAGCTGTAAAAGTAGATTTATTAAAAAACAAAACCAACCAAACAAAAAAACAACTGTCACCTACTTTCAGTTGGAGGAAGATCCTCTGCTGAAAAAGAGCAGTAGCCCTTATTTGCATCTGATAATAGCACGGATGCCAGAAGGATGTGGCCTTCCACAGCTAGACCTGGAGCAGATACCAAAAATAATCAAGACTATTGTCTTTGGTGCTCTAATGATGTATCACTACCATAACTAAATTAACTTTATCTTCTCTAGTTACTGCTCTAGCTTACCTCTTTGTTTACATAGGATTTTAAAGGAGGATCATCAAAAACCGCTGCCATCTACCAATAAGAGATTAAAACATCAGAATTACAAAAATAAGTACTGTTATGTGAATTTTAATGCAATCAAATTTCTCAACTGTGCTATGATGACCCTTAAACAAAAATAATAAAAATTGCACTATATCCCAAGGCATTTGCTGAGGAGCTTCATGAAAGGGTTCGAAAGGAATTTTGGGCTTACTGTAGTGCCGAGCAGCTAGATCTCTGTGACCTACGCAGAATTAAATATGATGGAATTCGCCCTGCTCCTGGGTATCCAAGCCAGCCTGACCATACAGAAAAACTGACCATGTGGAAACTTGCAAACATCGAGGAAACAACAGGTAACTGGATCAACCTTAATAAGATTCTTAAGCAGCATTTGTGTGAATTAATGATTGTAATGCCAACAAAACAATGAATTGGAGTATGCAGAGCTGCATAAAAAATTGAACTAAAGTAGTTCTGGGAATTGCTGTCTTTGCCTTTTCATTGTTGTTTTTATTTTTCCTCATTCAAGAAAAAAATTTTCAAAATACTGCCAGTGCTTTTGCTGAAGGAATTAGCAAAATCCTAATTAGCAGATTGCATGCAAACAGAGTTTTGCTACACTGAGAGAAAAACTCTACCATCCTTATGGCTGCAAGAAGACATTCCAGATATAAATAAAATAAAAACCAATTCAGCAATTTGTTTCCTGGACCACAGAAACCTTGAGATGGTAACTTTAAAAAAAAAAAAAAAAAGTAAGAAAGAAAGAAATTATATGTCTTTCTCTGATATTTTGTGTGTTGGACATTCCACTTCTAGCTCCACAATTCCAAAATACTTTCTGGTGCTTCAGAAGCTCTAGTTAACCATTTTCCAAAATGTCCAAGACTTTTTTTTTTGAAAACAATCTATACCGTTGCTCTACAGTAATGCTGTAATGAAAGTCTGCAATTTATTTGAAGCTGTATGTATTTTCTTTGGAATAGATAACAAATGAAAAATAGTTTTATGTTTTTAGTTCATCTGAAAGCTTCTTGTTTTTTGTTTTCTTTTTTTTTGTTTTTGCTTAAAGTTGCCCAGCAAAAAAAAAGACTTTGAATTCAAGCTTATTGGTTCAGAGAACAAGAATGCTTTCATTTTTTCATTCTCTTTTCCAGGAATTGGTTTAACTGAATCACTAGCAATGACACCTGCTTCTGCAGTTTCTGGCCTCTACTTTTCCAATCCCAAATCCAAGTATTTTGCTGTTGGCAAGATATGTAAAGATCAGGTAACTTGCACTGTCCATTATGCTAGTGTTATAGCATTCAAAACCAACTTGTGACGAGATGATCCAAATTTTTTATGTCAACAGTAAAAGCTGGAGTTTATGAATTGTCATCATGTCTCTTCTCAGGTTGAAGATTATGCACTGAGAAAAAAATTGTCCGTGGCAGAGGTGGAGAAATGGCTGGGACCCATTCTGGGATATGATACTGAATAACTGTGGGAGACATCGGCAAGCATTTTCTTCTAATGGTCCATTTGCTAGAAGGAATAATGAAGTGGCATCTATTACCTTACATTGCTGCCCTTAGTATTTGTTGGAAATGGTTTGTTTTTGTCACTGGTCTGATCAAAAAAAAAGAAAAGAAAAGAAAAAATCTCAAACCAACAAACCAAACGAACTAAAATCCAACAAGAAAATCCTACTGAGAGGTTTTCTGCCATCCAGTATCCAGTATTTCATCTGATTGTTTCTAATTTTTGATCAAGGAACATATATTTCAGGTATGCCATGTACTTGGGACCATGAATGCATTGCAGGTCTCTTAATCATAGCAATATGCTTTTATTTGTATTTTTTGCACAAATACTCTAGCTGAGCAACTAGTTATAGGGTGAGATGTGGAAGTTGCACACCCCTCCTGTCTTTAGGAAGGCTTTGAAATGAGGGCCTAGTATTTGTCCCATTGGCTGTGGACATGTTGAACAGAGTTTGTCTTCTGTTATTTGAATGTGTTTTAGCAAGTCAAGGTCATACAGAAATATGATGCAATTTTTTTTCTGTGAAGTCAGGAAAAATTTTAAACTGAGTGACCAAGAACAACCAATGTACAAACAGATCTTTTTTATAAAAAAAAATAAACAACTGTCTGCTCCATATTTAGGGCTTGTACATAATGTTTTTCTCTCTAAATAATAACTCAGGTCTTTAATTTACTGTGTGATGATGACTGTAGTTAAAACTATCAAAAGATATAATGTGGTGGAACAATATCAGGGATGCTGTATTATGATAAAACATAAATGAGATGTGTCCCCCTAGAAAACTCATGCTTACTTTCATCTGGCTACAGTCCATTTCTAGTCCATTTCTGTGTAAAGTGTAACAATACCTTTCTTCCTCCCTGTTTTGTTGTGAGGATTAATTAATATTTAAACTTTTGTATGTGAAAAGTATGACAGAAGCACAACTGCTACTATTAACAGAGAGACAGAAAGCTTGGAGCTGACCAGTGTACAAACTTTAAGCTTATTTTAACCTGGATTTTAAAAGCAAATAATAGCAACACTACCATCAGTAACAGTTAATAGTGTAGGTTTATTTTCCAAATCTAAGTGAGCTAATTGTTCATAGCTGTTCATAATCCCCTAAAAGTGCCTCATGTATTATTTAAATGCAAATTTCTTAAAATATTATGTCAGGAAAATCCAGTTTTTCTGGTCTCTAATTGTAAAGAAAAGACCAATGTTCTATCTGTAATCCATTAATAGTTACATAATTTTTGTAATGGCATCTGACTCTATGCTAAAAGAATTATCTTGTATCAACAGTTTAATAAAGGTTAAGCTGTCAGTGGTGTTATCCTTTCTGAATTCTTTGAGTGGCAATAGAATGGACTGTAATCTGAAAAAAAGCCAAAATTAATATGCATTATTTTACTAAGAATCGAAAAGTATAAAAGCTCTTACAGGGTGCTTAAAGTAGTTGAGTAAGTGTGTTGTTAGATGCTTTAGAATCTCCTATCCTTTAATGACTTACAAAAGAAAAATAATCTCATTACATATTATGGGGTTTAAGATATGTCCTGTTCATCAGCTGATTCTTGTTGCTGAATTGCTGTTCCTCAGTAGAATGCTCTTTTAGACTGCCAAAATACTAGAAGCAATACAAAGTAAAATCTGATCTTAAAGTATGTAGCCTGTAAAAACTGAAATACTCTTTGCTTTCTTTTTCATACTCGTACCTTTGGTTCATTTAATTTTATGTTTGGAATATCTCCTCTCTATCACTTTAGAGTTAGAAGAAGAGTGCCTTATTAGTCTGAAATTCACACTGTGAATGTGTGAATGAGGTCAGAGTTTGACTTGTACAGCTTGAGTTTGTTTGTTTTCCTGAAATCAATTGCAGGTAGCTGAGTGAGTACAGCTTTAGTGGAATTAAACTGACAGAGCAAATAGGTGCACTGCTGTATAACCCAGTGGTGTGTTACCTTGCATACAAGCAGTGGGTTTCAAATGGCATGCAGTTAATTTGTCCCTTCACACATGGTGTCATACACTGAGTAAAATCTTTATCTTTGCCTGCAAAATGTGTCATTCTAAGAAAATATTTGGAATAATTATTCTTTGTTGTTGTGCAAATGTTTTTAACTGGGACGGTTTCTTTAAATTGTCACTTGACATTTTGAGTAAGACATATCTTCAGTCTTAGCTGAAGACCAAAGGTAAATTACAAAGGAAAAGGTTTCATAGTTCTACCAGTTAAGATGTTCACATACATCAAACTATATTGAAAAGCTATGGTAAGATTATGGATACCTATTTCAGTGCTGCTGCTACTTGTGGGAAGACTGGATTTCAGTTTCTGTAGTTTAGTTTACCTGGGCGGGCGTGAGGGTACTTTGTGTATTTGAGAATTTTCCACTGCTTTCTGTTGAAATTCGAGTTTTCTGCTTCCTTGTTAAACAATGTGAACCTTGGTTCACGTATTCAGTTAATTTTTTGTCTGAAGTCCTTAAAACACAAGTGGTATCCAGAATCTGAGAGTAGTAATGAGTCTTTTGAGGGCAGAATATTAACTTTTAGAAGTTTTGCTTTTCAGAAAGGGGCTAGTTTACTAATACCTGTGACTGGCTTTTATGAAATACTGTTTGAAACATTGGCTGACTTGCATGAACATGTCATAAAAAAAATGGATATAGTGTTGTAGAAGCATTTGAAGAGCAAGAAAAAAAATAGCTTCATTAATTACTTCAGGAGCGTTGTTCCATACAGAGGCCACAGCACATGTTTTCAGTCACTAGAGAAATTTTTCCTATGCTCTCAATTATCATATCCTTGGCATGGCATAGCCTGTTCAGTCCCCCTGCAATGTCATTTCATTTGATTGTCAGGCCTGTGTAGGTGCCAGTTTTCAAATGGAAATATACTGTGAACTGAATAAAAACATGTTTATCCTGCTTTCACACATAATTTGTATACCATCCAGCTAAACACAGAACCGAAAACCCAATGCAGTAAGCCTCCATGTTCTTTTGTTCTATTAATACCACCATGGCTGAATATCCTGAGGTTTTTGCCCATGCCACATGCCTGATAAAAATAGCTGTGCAAGTAGAACTCAGCTGAGATTACCAAACTTGGCATTTTGGATTTTTGATCCAGCTTGAACTGGGATGTTTAAAAGCAATCTAGTAATTATCTTTGCTGACCTGAAGCTACCTTGGAAGCTGGGAAATTAAAGGTCCTATTTTCAGGAATTGCTGCCTGACTGCCATTGCACCAGTATGGCTCTCCCTAATGCTCCTGATCGGGCTACCAGGGTGTGTTCTCACACCAGGGTGGTCTCTGCCATCCCTTCCTACAGAATGAGCATGAAGTACGCGGAGGCAGTGTGGAAGTTCAGGCTTATCTCGGTTCTTTTCTACTTTGTTGTCAAATCAGTATCCTTTTCCTGCTTTTCCCTCCAGCAACCCCCCTTACTCTGGATGTCAGTATTTTCTCAGTCAGGGTCCTCTGCAGGCTCCATCAAAATGGAATTGTAAAAGGTTTTAAATAAGTCTCTTTTGAAGTCTGAACTGGTTATCTGCCCCAGGAAGAGGAATTTCTGACTGGCAAGCACTGGATATAAATAATAATTGGGGCTAGTAGCTGTGCCTACAGGGGCCTTGTATTATGTGTGTTAGCCATTTATAGTGGCTAAGGGCAAGGCTACAAGATGTTATGCAATTTCCAACATATTAGCTGCATCTTCATTTACATGGTTGCTTTCATCTAGGTAGCAAAACCAAAATATATTAACTGCATTCTTTGCCAGTACTTTTTTTTTTTATTTTTTTAAATCCACAACAGTAATAAAGCCAATGCCATTTAAAATATTTTAATGGTGAGAACTCTTCAGATAATTTTTCAGGTAATTATTATCTATCTGTTGATATTATAAGCAAATGCTTTTTAAAAAAGGTAGGTGAAAAGAATTTATTTATCTATTGATGTTATAACAAAACAACAAAGCAACAAAAGAAGCTAGCGGGGTAGTATTCACAGAGCATAATTTAATTTCAAAAGAACAGGCACTCCTCTAGATAGGGAATAGAAGGTTGAGCCAGAGTTATGGCAAACATGTTTCTTAAAAATACAGGTTCTCAGTATTTATTTTACTTTAAATGAAAATAAAGGCTATAGCCCATACCTTATATCTACTATCAGAATACTAGAAATGCAATTTGAGGAAGAGTCTTAACAAGTTTTCATTAATCTAATGCATGCTTAGGATTAATAAGTTACATTTTTGTGTGTGTGAGAGAGAGAAAAAGGAGGAAACAATACTTATCTTGTAGTCAACTTACTGCTAGGAGTAAGATGCAAGCTGTTGAAAAAAGATGAAAAAACAAACAAGCACACCAGTACCAACAAAACCACCTCTTGGGAGTTGTTGGAATCCTTACTTAGGTGAAAGTTTTTGACTGTTTTCAACTAATGCTGCTGTTCACTGTCTGGCAAAATGTTGTGGTACATGGAAAATCAAACATCCTTCTTTTCCCAGCAATTTCAAAGATGTTAAAACTCTGCATCAGCTCTGTATCTGCTTGTAGATCTTAGTGCAGTATTGAGCATCAGCTCTGTATCTGCTTGTAGACCTCAGTGCAATATTGGTCTGATCTAGGTGTCCGTATATCTTGGATTTTTTGTTGTTTTCTTTACTCAGGGTGTTTGCAGATCATTTTTTCTTTTTCCTGTGTGGGAGTGTAGCTTCATGGGATGTTTTGTTCTTATTTGATTATTTTCATGTACTTAGTCTGTACTCTTTGTCTCTTCTCCTACCTCACAATACAGGTGTGAAGATGTTACTCAGCACCCTGATGTCCTGTGAGCAGCATATCTTGTCTATGTGTGTTTCCTTTTTTTTTTTTTTTTTAAAAAAAATGCATATTACTTTTTCTTGTTGCTGAATTTCATCAAGGTTCTTGCCAAGTGTTCTCTTCCCAGGAAGTGGACAACTTCATTGCTTTCAATCTGTCCATCAACTGGGGAAATCTAGGTAGAGCTTCACAAGTGGAGTAAAAATGTGAGGTCTAAAAAGGTGTCAGTTCTCTGTGGTTGGTAGACTCCTTCTACACTTTTGTTTCTGTTACAACCTTGTGAGAACAAATACGTATGTATCTTTCCCTGTATTAGGGCAGTAGTGGTACAGGTGGTAAGAGGAAAAAAAGCTGCACTGTATGGCCAAGATTTACTTAGTAAATTGTTCTTTAGAGATACATCGGTAAACTGTATACTGTGGCTGTTGTCGTTGATCAGGATGTGTTTTCAACTGTTGTCTTAATCTTGTCTGTATTCAGCTGTTTTTATTTCAAGAAACCATTACTTAGGAGTGCTCATGCTTTGCTAGATACAAGGTTCTCCATTTAATCAGGCTTTTATAACGAGGCTTTGCAGTAGCTATTCGCTACTATTACTATACTACTATTTTTGGCTTTCATAAGTTTTTCTGTAACTGAAGAGATGGCTTTCTTCAGAATACTGTTGTATAGCAAATATATTCTCTAAGGCTCACAAGATGAGAGTTAATTATCAACACCTGATCTGACAATGTTACTCAGCCAAGGTTTTGCAGAACAACTTCATTAGTCAAGAAGTTTGCTGCTTAGAAAACAGTGATCATCTTTGCATACTTAATTTAGGAAATACATGTAAGCATTTGATTTTTTTTTTTTTTAATTTTAACTTTCTTCATCAAATTTTGTTCTTCTTCCTCAAATGTTGTTCCTCAAATCTCAGAGCAGCTAAAGGAATTAATTTAATTTATTTGTTACAGTACTGTCTATACACATAAATTGAGAAGCACTGAAGCAAGACACTGGGAACTTAATATGATGTAAGAGAGTACTGTGTATTTACTGAATGCTGACTTCTTCAGTTAAACATTAGGTGAAGAAGCTGTAAAACTGGAAGCAGCAGTCAGCTAAGGCTATAAGATTTTAGAATTTCAGCTGTTGGATCAGCAGCATTTTTTCATGCTTTGCCTCATCTTTTGATAGTTTATCCCACAACAGAATCCTGCTGCCGCATCCATATTCTTGTTATTCTCCAAGAAGTGTCTGACATGGATTCTGTTGAAGATTTTGATGTGCACTTCCAGCATTATTTTTCAAAAAGATTTTAAAGCACCACACTGGAGATCAACATTGCAATTTCTTGAGCTTTAAAATACTTGTTCTTCCTCACAAAGTCTCCAGTTACTGATGCATTTTTTACCACTCAATGAACTGATTCAATTAGCCTGCATTTTCTTACAGCTCCAAGTAAGTTGGAGGAGGGAGTAGAGTGAAAGGAGTTTTTATGGTACTGTTT